GAGCTAGAAACATTGATGAGAGAGAAACATCAACCAGCTGCCTCCCGCACACCCTCCACCGGGAATGCACCAGCAACCAAGGCACAGGTCCCTGACCGGAACCGAACCTGGGACCTTTCAGTCTGCTCTACCCACTGAGCCAAACCCGCCAGAGCGGAAAAGTTGCTTCTTGACTTGAAACTATCTTACAGCCTGCTTTTTCCAACAGGAAACTCCCTGGAACCACCACAAGCATTCCAGGTTCTCTCCCCTGCCGCCTTTACCATCCTGGCTTCCTCATTTCCTCACTTCTCCTCATCATCCACCCAGGCCCTCCCACTCATGCTCAACGGAACTCCTTTCCCTGCAGTCTTATAGTGTCCACTGCCTCAGCATTCTAGAGGCCGTATCATTAGTTACCAATTTCCAGGGTGCTCTTTATTCCCACAATTTATAGGCCCATTAGAGTAAGTCTTGAGTTCCCCACAGCTGTCTGTATTGCTTTGCACCCAATATATACTCAATAGACACTATGGATTATCCAAAACCAATTAGTTTCTAAGAATATGCACATCTTATTTCCTCATGTGACCTGTGAAATGGAGAGATTCATCACTAAGTACTTCAAAATGTCCTTCAGTGAAGACTCTTTAATCTTAAGAGCTGCTATATTCCCTTTAGAGATTTGAAAATATCCTCTTGTCACAAATTTTTGTGCCAGCTTCCGTTTAATCCTTTTGACTTGACTTGAAGGTATCCCACCGGTCAGTGATCATCACTCCAGGGTGATTATGACCTAGAAATAACCTACTTTCTCATGCTGATTACTTTACTTTCAGAATCCTAATAAGTGCATTTTTTCCCACCTTCCCGTTCCAACTAGCCGAAGTACATATATAGATTATGGATTTTCAGCCTTTTCATCTCATGGCACACCTAAACTAACTACTAAAGTTCTGCTGCATACCAGAAAATTTTATATTTTTTTGCTAATCGGACCAAAAAAAAAAAGGTGAAATTTTAATTCATTCACACCGGATAGCTATTTTTGTGTTGGCTGATGTCCTTTGTTGTTTTACAAGCTAAGGGAAAAGAGGTCAGTACCCCTGACTAGATAGTGAGTTACTGCATGTTTAAAAAATTCTTGCCGCACACGGACTGAAAATCGCTGGTGTAGATCATTCAAGGTATATCCACAGAAAAGTGGTGTGTGTGTGTGTGTGTGTGTGTGTGTATGTGTTAACAAAGTAACAGCTGCCTTCCCTGGCCCCTCTCTCAATGAACTACAATGATTCCATTGCGTTTCACTCCTTCCCCGTGTCAGGGGAACACCAATGTAAACAAAGTTTATAAAGGGATTATAAAAATAGCACGGTTGCAAAAAGGAATCCAAAATATTCGTGGGACACTCTCCTAACCCAACCTCATCACCGAGACATTTCCTCTTGCAAGCGTGAGCGAATAAGCAGCAGGGAGAGGAGTCGGGTGGAAAGGAAGCCAGGGAGGCGCGCTTTGCCAACCAGGCTGGCCCAGGCCCCCTACGGCAAACACCTGGTGCCAGGGGGGCAGGGAGCGCCGGCCATCCTCCCGGTCCGCCGATGCCCGCCCAAGCTGCCCGCACTTCTCCCCCCTCCGCTCCCCGCGGCCGGGGCCGGCCTGGCCCGTCCTCCCTCCGCGCGCGGGGTCTGTGCGCAATGACCTCGGGCCATTGGGTGTGGGTCCCGCCGTCCTCCCGCAGGCCTGGCAGCCCCTGCCCCTGCCCAGGGGGCGTCATCCAGGGGCAGGTCTTCCCGCCCGGACCCCCAGGCCCAGCCGGACCTCCCGATCCCCCGGCATGAGCGCGGGGCCGGCCGGGGAGGGGAGGGGAGCGGGGCGCGCGGTGACCGTTAGCTGCGGCGGCGGCGGCGGCGGCCGGACAGCGCGGGACGGGCCTTACCGCAGCGGAGAGGACGGCAGCGGAGCGGCGGCGCCCGGCCGGACGCGGGCGGGAAGGCGGCGGCGGCGGCAGCCGCGGGGGGCCCCGGCGGGCGCCCGGGACGCGGTGGGCGGCATGGGCGCCGCCATAGTGGGGACGCAGCGCCGGGCGGAGCGCGCGGCCGCGGCCGGGGACGGCGGGACCACCAATCCCGCTCTCCGCCGCAGCGCCGGGCCGGGAGGCGGCGGCCGCGGCCAATGGGCGCGCGGAGGCAGGGTGGTGGGCAGGCGCGGGCACCAGCGGCCCAATGGCACGGGAGCCCCGGGTTTCCCGGCCCGCCCAGCCCGCCCTCCGCGGGGCCCGGGGATGCGGGGCGGCGCGGGGCCGCGGGTGCTGCGCATCCCGCCGGAGGGCTCCTTCCTCCTCGCCTGGTCCCATTGCCCGGAGGCGCGCGCTGTGATGCCCGCAGGGCTCCTGCCCGCCGGCGCCACCCAGCCTCTCCGGGGCCTGTCCCTTCACTCGTGCGGTGGGCACAGCCGGGCGGCCACGGCGTTCCGCGCACAGGAACGCGGCCAGAATGTTTCCTGAGGCTCAAAGCTTTGGACCTCCAAGGACTGGGCGACCCTGCCCTGCCCCATCGAGGTGGGTGAGAGTGGACGGGGTTCCCAAGCTGCGTTTCAGTACCATCCATTTCAGAGCCTGGCAAAAATAAATAAATAAAATTGTGCGGGGACAGGACCACTCCGCCCCGTCCCGTTTAGCCTTTATAGCTCTGGAGGTCCTGGCTCTGACTCACTCCTCAGCCCAGCAGGTGGAAAGCGGTTCAGTCCGGCTGCAGTCCTTGGTTGCCAACCCAAAAATCTTAAAAGGAGGGCAGTTTGTCCTGGCAAACAGGCCTCTGGGAGCCGCCTGCCTGACAGACTGGCACAGTGAGGGAGTTCCGAACTGCAGGTTGTGTATGACCAAAATAAAAGGCATAAACTTCCTAGAAAAATGGATAAGATCTAGAATCCCAGCTACGCAGGTGTTCTAAGGAAGGCGGGTCTGGAGGTAGGGGACTCCGCCAAGTCTGGGGAGGTGTTCCTCTCCTCCAAAGGCTCGGCTCACCAACCCACTAAGGCCTGCCTCTGCCACCTTATCCAGTGACCCCCGGGGATCGGTGGGTGCTGCACAAAAACCCAACCTCCCTTTCTTGGCCCCAGGAGGGAGCTGGCATAGAATAGTGTCTTTGAAACCCGCTGCTCCACCCCCCAGAATGAGACACCAGGAAGTAGCCGCATCCCAAGCCCATGACCTTTTAGAGCAGCACTGTTGGCCCACGCCTCTCCAGGTGGACAGAGCCATGGAGCCAAGGCCACCCAGGGACCAACTGGAGCTGCTGTGCTGTGCCCAGGCCCTGCACCCACCCTGGCGCCTCCTGGCCTGCTGCTGTGCTGTCCCTGTCCACCTGGACCTCAGGGGCACACCAGGCACCGGGACCAGGTCCTCCTGCAGGGAAGCTTCCCGCCAACTAGACAGCTCAGAGCAGCTTCGAGACGCCCTGGGACTCCTCCAGGGGTCAAGTCCCTTGCTCTTCTAGCACCGAAGACGTACTCCTTTCAAGCTGGTGCCACAGTTGTATAGAACCGAGATTCTGGGATGAACTTGACCGGCTCAATGAAACGAGCCAGAAGTGAGAGACCAAATTCAGCTCTAAGGCTGACTGGTGGTCTGGTCTTCCCTTTACTCCCCCTCCTTCCGGTCTCTAAAGCAGGAGAAAGGGCGCTCAAGGCCTGAGGCGCCTCTGCCCCCTGTCCCACCAGGCTACAGCGCCAGAACTTGTCAAGGAACCCATCTTGAGGACAGCCTCCTAGATCTTTCCACACAGTCTCCTTCATACATGGCCCTGCCTCTAGACACACCCCAGCCTGACCCTGGGCCACTCGGGCTCCTTGGGGGCAGACACAGCCATCCTCTGCTTAAGACATTTTATTGCTAAAAGACAAGATGATGCACCAGTTTTCAAAATAATTTGGTTTATAGCGTTCATAAGTAACAAAAACCAGGGAAATATTATAAATCTGATTCTTGTATAGACAGAGTACAGGTGTGAAGCCCTCCAATCCTGGGCCCAGGCAAACAAATTCATGAGGAGCAAGTTCCTGTTTAACCCCTTCAGTGTTGCCCCCCAGTCCCACCCCTCCCCCCATATCCACTCCCTCCCATCCCCAGACCAGGGGCAAACCTGCCCCTGGCCACCAGTGGCCCCAATTCATCTCCACCCTCCCAGCTCCCACATTGATTGCAGTTTTCTGTTGAATCACTACCAGGCTCTGCCTGCTCCCATCATTCAGATTCTCCTGCATGGTATTCCCCAACCACACCCTCCAATACTGTGCCACAGGGGCTCGGTGTCTAGAGAGAGATGTGGACACACATGCGTGTGACCCCTCTCTTTTTCAAGAGGGGGCAAAGAGGTGGCCTTAGCTCCTTAGTATCTCGACACTGCAGCTCTGCCAGCATTCCCTGGAGGCAGTTCAAGGGACAGACGCCACACTCATCTCCAGCCAACCCCAGGGACCCTTATTCAGCTCAGCTGAGGGCAGAATTTCACATTTTGTTTGCCCTGGATAGGCAAAGGAAGGAAGTAAAGGCCTGGGGCTGGCAAAAGCTGGTACAGACCAAACACACACACACACACACACACACACACACACACACACACACATAAATACAAAAGGGGGAAGGGAGGGAGGGCAAGCACCGGCACCTCTTCCTAGCGGGTGCAGGTGATCATTAGGAAACCAAGTTCTGGGCCAAGAACGGGGCAACCAGTCCAGCGAGCACAGTCGACCCCGTTAGAGACCATGCGGCCGCAGCATTCCAGTGCTCAGCCCCTCGGTGGGCGCTCAGCGGCTGCTGCCACAGGTCCAAGAACGGCTTATCCTTTCGCTGGAGGTGGGCGCGATGAGGGTGGGGTGAGAAGATGACGGGGTTGGTTATTTCATTCCTCTGCATTTTACAACTTCATTTTAGAGACGTCAGAGTTTGAAGGGTCTGCTGTGCTGTGGAGCCTCCAGAGGGTTCTCGCCGTGGTGGCCGGGACTCTCCTGGCTCCTGGAAGCACCTACTCCATGATGGCCCGGTACAGCGCCGGCTCAATGTAATCTTCCCGGTATCTCGAGTTGATAACGCGCTGCCGTTTCTTTTCCTGTTTAACCTCCTTCTCCGTGAAAATCTCGTTGAAGCGCATGTCTGAGGCTACTGACTACAGAAGAATAGGCAAGTCAAATGAGCAGTCTGTGGCCAACCACCATGAGAAGAAAAAAAAAAGACACACATCCTTGCCTTGTTCCCTTCCTCCCAGTCAGGAACCCAGGCCCACAGAACACACTCACCAGTCTAGACTTGACTCTCTTGGGAAGCTCTTCATCCAGCGTGTAGACATCGTCTCTCTTCACCACAAGCTGGGAGCCGTCCTCAAACTCCACCTACCGAGGAAACACAGGCTTTGCTAAGATCGCTGACTCTCTCTCGGGGCCACCATGCTCTCTGGCCACTTCCTGTAGTCATAGGAAGAAGTCAGAACACTGAAGGACTGCCATGTTTGAAGCCACAGCTGGCAGACAGGACACAGGGCAGCCCCTAGCTCTGAAAGGCTTGTTCCGGACTCCCTTAGCTCTCCAAAGAGCAGAGACACAGTCTGGCCCGAGAGGAAACATTGAGTTCATCAGGTACTCTCCCAACCCCCAAACCTCTGGCTACCTGGTACATCTGGATGGGGTGGGAGGCCACGAACTTGGCTCCATAGACTTGGCCGTCTGTCCACCGCACTTGAACCACTTCCCCTGCAGCAGGAGGACCCAACTGGAGACAATCCTGACTCTGAGGGAACAGGAAGAGAAGAGTGAGAGGATGGCCATGTGAGCACAGTGGTAACCACCATCGACCTCAGGAAAGAATGAACCAGGATGAATTCCTGCTCCTGTGGAAACACTCAAGGCACCTGCTCACGCCGAGGCATGATGATGGTCTTCAGGGAAAATATTGTGTGACTGAGTTGTGAGTTGAAGCAGCTGCTTTTTGCATGGAACATAAGCTTCACTTGAAAAAATGACAGAGCAACTAACTATGGTTACGGTTACAAACACATTCAGACTTGGGTATTGGCAGACATCTTGAAAATGAATGAACTGAACCTGCCACTTCAAAGAAAACAACTGACAGTATCAAGTATTGCCAATGACAAAAATCAAAGCTTTCAAACACAAATTAGGATTTCAGGAAAGTTACATCACCAACTTGAGCTTGAAGTTTCCCAAAATTTAAAGATTTTTCTGAGATTAGTTATACAAATGAATGTGAGTTTGATAGTGTGTAAGAAAATTTAACTTTGGAAAAGTATGCACAGCCCAGTGCACCAATATGTAGAATGTTATAAAATCATGCACAGGTGAGAAAGCCATTCTCAGGTCCATTCTACAGACAGACCAATGGATTTTAATGTAACAGGTATGCAAAGTTCACTGACCTGCTTTCAGATTCAATTATCTGAAAGGCTATTAAAATACTCCTCCCCTTTCCAATTACATTTGTCTGCAAGACTAAATTTTCTTCCTATATTTTATTTTTATTTTTAATATATTTTATTGATTTTGTACAGACAGGAAGTGAGAGAGATAGAGAGATAGAAACATCGATGAGAGAGAGTCATGGATCAGCTGCCTCTTACACACCCACTTCTGGGGATATGCCCACAACTAAGGTACATGCCCTTGACTGGAATCGAACCGTGTCCCTTCAGTCCCCAAGCCGACGCTCTATCCATTGAGCCAAACTGGTCTCGGCTCTTCCTATATTTTAACCAAAACGAAGTGCAACAGATTGAAGATATGACATTAAAGATATTTGCAAAATTATAGAAAAATGGCATTCTTCCTAATTTTTTTATTTAATAATATTTTTGTTTTAAAAGAAAGTTATTTTTACCCTCAACAATAAACTTTTAAAAAATAAATAAAAAGGAAATTATTTTTCATTAATAGTGGGTTATTTCAAATCAATCCCGATTTTAATTTCTAAGAGTAAATATTGATGGACATAACCCACAAAACACAAGGTCTGTGAGGTCCTTAGTAACTTGTAGAGGAGAATCCCAAGATCACCGTTCTGTAAGTTAGAGATAGTACCACCCACTTCTCAGCTGATTCGAGAGGTGACGGAAATACTTATGTAAGCCGAAACCGGTTTGGCTCAGTGGATAGAGCCTGCGGACTGAAAGGTCCTGGGTTCGATTCCGGTCAGGGGCATGTACGTTGGTTGCAGGCACATCCCTGGTAGGGGGTGTGCAAGAGGCAGCTGGTCAATGTTTCTCTCTCATCGATGTTTCTAACTCTCTATCCCTCTCTCTTCCTCTCTGTAAAAAATCAATAAAAAAAATAAAATTAAATTAAATTTTAAAAAATACTTGATGTAAAGCACTTAGCATACTGTCTGGCACATTGGAGAGCTTAATAACACTGTTACTATCACCTTTACTACCTTGTTATAACTAATGAAAGTGCTTTTAGTACTGCACTGTTAATGTGGCCATAAACAGGGAAAATACCTGATTTGTTAAAAGAAGTGGCTCAGTCCCACTACCTTGATGCTTAGTTTAACCTGAAAAAGCAAGGCAGGGGTAGGGGAAACCTGAACTAAGTCCTGAGCACTGAGCCAGGAAAGCTAGGATTGGGTCCAGGCAGGGCTGGTGTCTCAGGTGTTGAAGAGATAAGCAGGCCAGAGGTGTCTCTAAGCAGCTTGTGCTCAGCCCCAAAACCTTCCGCTGTAAAAAACCAAAAGCTGCCCAGTAGGTGTGGCTCAGTGGTTGAGCATCAACCTTATAAACTAGGAGGTCATGGTTCAATTCCTGATCAGAGTACATGATTTCAGGTTCCATCCCCAATTGGGGGTATGCAGGAGGCAGCAGATCGATGATTCTCTCTCATTTCATCATTGATGTTTCTATCTCTCCCTCTTCCTTCCTCTCTAAAATCAATATATATATATATATATATATATATATATATATTTTTTTTTTTTTTTTTTTTAAATAAAAAAAGAGAGCTAGCTGGGTAATCCCCCAAATCCACACAGCTGCTAAGCAGTGGTGCTGGTCCATGAACACGAGCCTAATGCCAAAGCCTGGCCTCCTCGTGGCAGCAGAATGCCTTTGAGGGTAGTTTAGACCGAAATACAAGCATCTTTCAGAGAAATGCAGAAAATGCTGATTCCTCTGAGCTCCTAGAACAGCTGCAGGGAACCTTTTCTGCCAAGGGCCATTTGGATATTTAGATCATTCACAGGCCACACAATTATCAACTTTAAAAAAAAAAAAAATTAGCCTGTGCCCTAACCTGTTTGGCTCAGTGGATAGAGTGTCAGCCTGCGGACTGAAAGGTCCCAAATTTGATTACGGTCAAGAGCATGTACCTTGGTTGTGGGCACATCCCCTGTAGCGTATGTGCAGGAGGCAGCTGATCGATGTTTCTCTCTCATTGATGTTTCAAACTCTCTCTCCCTTCCTCTTTGTCAAAAAAAAATCAATAAAATTGTTAAAAAATTAGCCTGCTATATTTGGTCAAACATTTAATTACCTCACCTCTAAAGCCTTGGTAGGCCCAGACCAAATGATTTCGCAGGCCTTTTACCGCCTGCAGGCCAGACATCCCCACCTCTGTGCCAGAGGTAGCTCCGTACCCCAGCAGCAGACAACTTCATTAGCATAGGAAGACCAGTGCAGTCCAAAGGCGTTTTTGTTCTGGGTCCAACTGATGAAACCATGGGTTTGACTAGAGAAAAGGAAGGCCCACAACCAGCCTCCCAGCCAGACCTAGAAATACCCGGGTCCCAAGAAGCTCCCTTCAGAAGTTACCACTATGTCCTCAGGATAGAGATTGTCGCTGAAGGAGCCGTCATCAAAGTTGACTTCGTAGAAGGTCTCGGTGGTGAGCCTGACCACCTCACACTGGTAGAAGCGGCCGTTCTTGTGCTTGCTGATGACCTTTTGGCCTGCGGTGATGCTCTGCAAGGCGCCCTTGGCACGCTGGGAAAAACATGCTGGAGTTACTCCCACAAGGCCACCCATTTAAGGATGAAAAATGCAACTGATAATCACAAAATCACTGCCCTGTTTCACAACAAAATGTCTACTTCCCTCCAGAGCCAGGACTCCATGCTACCTCAGGCTTTTACTCCTCCAGAGTCTCATTCTTACATCAATTATTTTTCCATCTTCCTAAGCCCCTAAAGTAACCACAGACCACCACTCATGCTCAGAAAAATACTTTCCTGTAAGACAAGAACCCAGCCAGCCAGCAAGGACTGCAGGAGAGGGGAAAGGGTTAGATGTGACCCCAACACTCTACCTATGTTGTTCCCGTATCAGAACTCGTGTCTCTCCCAGTTCTCTAAGTCTTTTTATTCCTTCAATCCACCAGACTGACACAGTTTTTAAATGCAGCTCAAAATCATATTGGAACAGTTCTCCTCGTCTAATGGCATTACAGAGTCCCACCGTTCACCCTACGGAGCTGCTTGCCCTTCAGTATCGCCCCCTCCAGGGTCTCAGGGCCACTCTTACATGTTCATTCTTCCGAGACTTATCTGTTCTGTTTCTGAAGCTTGGAATGTCTTCCTACTCCCAATGACTACTTATTGTTTAAGACCCACTTCAAACACTACTCTCTACCCAAACCTTTCTGTGAAACTCCTCTAGCTGAAATCACATGTACCTTTCTCTGAGCTTCAACATCCAGAGAAGTTCAAAATTTCCACTGTATGGTGGCTGACTAACTGCTGGAAGCTCTCCCCATCAGTTCACATTGCAGAGCTTCTGCTGTGTCCCTGACACTGTGTTAAGTAGTAGGGACACTCGGATTAATAAAATAAGGACCTCAAGGAGTTTATCTTGGAGGAGAGGCAAACAAGTAAACAGATGATTAGAATGAAATCAACCGCAAGCAGTTTGGTGCACTGAATGAGGAAGTGCCAGACAGGGAGTGGAGATGGACGGGGCCATCCCTTAATGCCTTCCTCATTAGCCCTCTTCAAAAAGCATACCGCGTGAGGGGTATCTGCCGACACAATAAGCGAACAGCCTACAGAGAAAACGATTCTGGAAACTGTGAGGAGGACTCTGGAACGGCACCCCTCCCTCCCTCACCTCCAAATTAGGAATCCGGTGCCGAAAGCAGGTAATGAAGACGACAAAAGGCCAGTCATCCGGCTGCATCATCACTCCCGCAGCCTGGGCACAGCTCACGTGGAAGGCGGTTGGGCAGCGGCCGTGAGAACACTGCACGCAGCAGCCGGCGGTTCTTTTCCTCCGCTTCTTACAAAAGACACATTTCTGCAACACAGGAAGCAAGCCGGTGATTCCAGGAGCTAGCAGTCTCCTCCATCTCTCCCGGACCCGAACGCAGAGCCATGTCTGATCCTAGGTGTCCTCAGCAAGTACTTTAACCACAGGGTGAGTCTCAAAACCCTGGTCAGAACCAAGGGGTATAAAAAAATTAAATAAATAACAAAAAATATAGGATAAAATCACCGAGGGGGAAAGGCTGGCCACTGGCCGAGCAGAGCCTGCCCTCAGAAGTGCTCAGTGATGTGTACGCAGAGTAAGGATGTGGAGTCTGCAGGCCCCTCTGGCCTCCTTACCAGCTTGAAGCGCGGCAGGGGGATTTTGCTCACGTCCACTGGACTTCTGGCTGCAATGTTGACAAACCTCGCTTCCAGAATCGCCACAGCACAGGAGACATGGACCCACCTGCCAAAGGGAAAGGCCACCTCAGTCGCGTCTGGCTCCGCCGCCCTGTGGCCTTCTCACCACAGGCTGCCTGCAGATGGTGCTTACGCCTTACCCAACACGACCACTACCTCCACCAGCAAGTTCCCGGGACCCAGTGAGGTAAGAACCACAGCGTCTCCGCAATGAACATGGAAAGAGGCCCCACACTGCCCTGGGTTAGCACAGGGCTGCACTCCCAACACCAACTCGCTCACAATCTGTTCCCAGAGAGCACAGCTCACTGAGTGTGGCAGGTTTGGGGAAGTGAGGATAAATCAGCGAGTTCTATCTGCACCTCTTTTACTTTAAGACCTGGGTATCCTGAAATTATCTCCAACGGTGCCCCCCATCTGCCAGTACTCACACTTCCCCCTGCAGCCTTTGCTCAGGGCCGCCCCTGGGCTGGAATGACCTCTCCCTTCTGCTCCCTTCACCACAGCAGACTCACTCTTTAAGGTCTGGCCCAAGCCAAAACCGGTTTGGCTCAGTGGATAGAGTGTCGGTCTGCGGACTGAAAGGTCCCAGGTTCGGTTCCGGACAAGGGCATGTACCTCGGTTGCGGGCACATCCCCAGTAGGGGGTGTGCAAGAGGCAGCTGGTCGATGTTTCTCTCTCATCGATGTTTCTAATTCTCTATCCCTCTCTCTTCCTCTTTATGTAAAATCAATAAAATATATTTAAAAAAAAAAAAAAAAAAAAAAAAAGCTCTGGCCCAAGCACCCACGCACTGGATGGGTCTGTGCAACGGACCTCAGAGGGTGAAGGACGTTCTGGACATCACAGGACACTGTCATCCCGAAGATGAGAAGATGGTGAAAGCACTTACAAGCAGCCAGGTGGAACCTGCCCAGACAGTGGTAGCTGGGCTACCAGAGCCGCCTGCTCCATTACAGGGCTATTATCTGAGGGTGGGAACAGATTTTGTTGCATGGCCTTTCAGGGCCGAACAAAGACTATAAAGTAAAGGGGCAATGCTCAAGCAGAGCCATCTCCATTCCAAATAGTAGCGCTATCTCGCAGTTGTGAGGAACACGACGACCTCAATGTAATGACCAAGTAATGTCAGCGAGTGCCTCTGAAGGAACGGGAGCAGCAAGCAGAGCAGCGTCCATCTGAACAGCACGAGGGCGGTTCCTGTGCGGCAGGAGGCTGCACAGAATGTTGCTCCAAGTTCCCACAGGATTTTAGCTAGAAGCAGGGTATTGACCACTGCTGCCCACCAACCTGCGTGTACCAAACCCCGTCCACCTCAGAACAAGTAAGCAAAGACCAAGCACGAAGTCTCTGGAAATGGGCTCCCGACAGCAAGAAGCCCAGCAAGCTCTGTCTGTAGGTTTGGCTCAGTAGTGAGTGGTCTTGACTGAGCTCTCCTCAATGTCCCCCTCTCCCCCTAAGGACATCGCCCTCAGTCTGAACAGGAGGTCTGAGGCGGGCAGAGCCGCCTGTGGAAAGTGCTCACAGGCCATGGCTGCGGCACCTCCGCACGGCCCAGCCACAACTAACTGCCCTCACTCCCGGCCCACAAAGCCCTGCAACGTCTCAGCAGGATGCTCGCAGCCTCCACCGCCCATCGTAACACCTGCAAAGGAAGCGCTGCCGCCAACTTTTCCTCACGTGGGAAGATGGACTTGGAAAGGAGACTTCTTGACTCCCCCTGGCATCCCATTTTAAATTAGTCTTGGAGATACTCCAAACAATGTGCGTTCCCAAATCTCATCCGTCATTCTGATGAGCAGCCGCTGCCTCGCACGCTGCCTCGGAAGTGCACGTTTCAGACACCGCTCGCACACTCACCTGTCGTCATTTGCTCTCTGCAGGGCTCCTCCTCGTAATGAGCATAAACAGCAGTCCTGTCAAGAAGGGAGGGGAGGAGTATGGTTATCACCGAGTCATTAACACCCATTCTGCTCCCCCTCCACTTCCTTTGGGCAGCTGGAGCCTCCACACAAGAAAGCAGCCAAATGTCACGTGGGCTTCGCCCCTGTAACCAGGACTCCCCCGAGGAAGACGGAGAGGCCACTGGGGCTAAAGTGCACCAAGTATTCACTTCACTTAACACAATCCTCTCTGCTGCTACCGTTAATAACAAGTATAAGCAAAGTCACGAAGGACAGCCTGTTCAAACCAGACTCACTGTGGGGTTCTGGCTGCCTCTGATGTGGGTACTGCCAGGTTTGGGGGGAAAGAGGGGACAGGAGTGGGGTGATGAAGAGCAAACTAAAAAATGAACTGTCCAAGCCTCATTCTGGTGCTCTAACCCAGGGGCTAAGTTCTTTGAAGGGGGTTAGGGCTCATCCACAGGAAAACCTACTTCTACTTGGTCTTGACACCACAGAGAAAACACAGCTTCCAGATCCCACCCAGGCCCTGCCATCTCACTGTCCCAGCGATTTATTATGAGAACCTTCCCTCTAACGGCTGTGTGCCAGGCCCCGTGCAGACGGCTGGGGACAGGAGTCCGCAGGAAACAGTCTGGCCCTGAGCAAGCCCCACGTCTCCCAGGGAAGAGAGTAACAGTGTGGGCGCACTCACCTCCTCCAGGGCGTTGGCTGAACATCGCGAACACATCCAGTCTTCAGAAGCCGTGGCGGGGGGCACGCCATAGCAACCTAACAGGGAGACCGAGGTGAGCAAATGAGGCCCAGAGGCCTGAGTCAGAATGAAATTTACAACTCTAGTCCATACAGCACCCAAAGCTACAACCAGACTTTACAGAAACCCCTGGATTCCAGCAAGGCCGCCAAGGGTTAGCCTCAAAAGGTCAGAAACTGTAGGTTCCCTGGTTCCAACACCTAGTGAGGCAGTGGTTCTCAACTTTCCTAATGCCGCGACCCTTTAATCCAGTTCCTCATGTTGTGCTGACCTCCAACCATAAAGTTATTTTCGTTGCTACTCCATAGCTGTAATTTTGCTGCTGTTATGAATCATAATGTAAGTATCTGTGTTTTCCGATGGTCTTAGACTCCACAGCGGCGGTTCTCAACCTGTGGGTCGCTAGCAGGGTCGCCTAAGACCATCGGAAAAGGTTGAGGACCACTGTTGAGGAGTGAGGAGAAACCCCTCCTAATAAGTGAACCGAGAGGCCAGCACATGCCAAAACCCGTTTGGCTCAGTGGATAGAGCGTCGGTCTGCGGACTGAAAGGTCCCAGGTTCGATTCCGGTCAAGGGCATGTACCTTGGTTGCGGGCACATACCCAGTGGGGGGGGGGGGGTGCAAGAGGCAACTGATTGATGATTCTCTCTCATTGATGTTTCTAACTCTCTATCCCTCTCTCTTCCTATCTGTAAAAAAAATCAATAAATTAAAAAAAAAAAAAAAGTCAGCACAGAGGCAGCTGTGAAAGCACAGACCCGGAGTCACATGAAACGCAAGCTCAATCTTAACAAACTCCCCAAGGACACAAACGCAATCTTTGCTCTGGGAGACTGGGGGGACTGGGGAGGCCCTGGGGAGGCCACAGGAGGCTGGGGGAGAAGCCAATGGGAGCAAGGACCTCCGACGAGCAGGCCCACGCCCCCGGGACCGGACACAGGGAGAAGGTGAGGCACTCACTGGCGTGGACCCGGACGCTGCACTTCTTGCAGGAAACCAGGATGCTGGTGCCGTCTTCCTCGAGGTAAGGGGTGGAAAGGTTGATGTCCGTGCTACAGCCAGTCGTGGTGAAGCACATTTCTGGAATCAATGGCTTGGTCCTCTGCTTCTGGGGGGCTAGACCTGGAGCATCCGCACAGTTCTGCCCGAGGCCTCCGAACTCGACCTGCAGAGAGAGCGGGAGCACACCTCCGTGAGCACGCCTGCGCTCCAGCAGCAGGAAGCTGGCTCCCTCGCTGATCTGACTACGGCTGCGGCTCCCGGGTGCACAGCCATTATCCATCCCCGAGCTGCTAATTGAAGTTACTTCTAATGACTCAAATTCAATTTCTCACAGCAGCACCAAACAAAGGCCCCTCGGGGACAACTGGCGAATGGGAGCGAGGTAAGAAGCAACTGGGATTTCAATCTTCCCGAACCAAGTGGTAATAAAATGCACCGAGATGTTAGCAAGGCTGCTGCTGCCGCGGGCTCCCCTATGTGCACAGCGGCCCGCCCCGGGGGCTCACCCAGAGCAGGGGCTCCCTATGGGCCAGCGCTGATTTCCCCCGGTGGTCCATGTCCTCAGGTCACCTGCGCTGCGATTCCCGCCCAGGGCCCCTTCAGAAAAAGCATCATGTCCCCGTACATCCTGACTACAGAGACCCCGCTGGCTCTGCCGCTGGGTGGCACCATCACCCCCACTGCAAGGACGGAACCCAGAAACCTATCAACCCTAAGCCTCTGCCACTCATGAAACTGAGCCACAGTCGGCAGATCTGCTGAAGGTACAGCCAGGCCTTTCCCTTCGCCTCACAGGCAAGGGCTCACGTAGACCTTTTGTTCTGCTTCTCGTCAACGGAAAGAAGCAGTGAGTTCAACCCAAAATGTGTTGGTCTGAAGTTCCATTCTCTGGCAAGCATGAACCTGGCACCCGGCCAGGCTCAGCGGCAGCCATGCCACTTGAATAAGATGACCAGACGCCACGCTTTTGGCGGGTCAGTCCCGATTTCTAACAATTTGTCCCATGTCCCGCGACGTTTTAAAAAAGTCCCGATTTTTGGGAAAAAATCGGGACTTTTTTAAAATGCCGCGGGACAGGGACAAATTGTTAAAATTGGGACTGTCCCGCCAAAAGCGTAACGTCTGGTCACCTTACACTTGAACCACCATCGGAAGACTGGTCGTTTACATGCCACCCTGGGCCGGTCACCGCTGACACTGGGCCGGTCGCCTGGAACATGCTGCTGAGGATGCCTTCCCGGCCTCCGAGAGCTAGACCCACAGAGACCCATAATGGTGATGCCATCCAATGCCCAGGAGCGGGAGGGGTACAGCCGGACGCAGCCTCAGTACCTTCCCAGCCCCTCTCTCCCATAAGCCTCTGCTCCTACCCTCCCAAGTTCCTTTTCACGGCTGCCAATACCCACTGTGGAGATGGGACCAGGAAAGAAGAGGATCTGGCTTGTCATCTGAAATCCAGACTACAGCAAAGAAACGTTCATCCTCCAGGCGGACTGGTCAGGACTACGAACCATCTGGAAGGAATCATCACTGACTAGGATGATCACACAAGAGCCGATTCCTCTGCAAACGGAGCGTGCCAAGGGGCACCCCCAAGCCTGAACCCCGTCATCAGCTCACCTCCGAAGCACCCTCCGATGAAGACTAGCTTTGTTGGGTTTTCTGCCCGCGAAGGATGACCAGCACGTGGACGGGGCAGAGAACACCAGCGAAGCGTGCCTTCCCAGGGCGACCGGTGACACGCCATGCACCCAAAATTAAGCCCAGCTTCCCTCTGACCGCTGGTCCTCAGCAAACAGAGGGGCTGGAGCGGGCTCACCTGATGGTAAATCTGGAAGATCATACAGACAGAGCAGTGAGGGGCCTGCCGGGCCATGGTCTCATTGAATTCCTTTTCGGCCTCAAAGTTCGGGGGTCGGTTCTGCCAGAGCTGGCTCAGCGGCTTGGCCCAGGCCTCTGTCTCCTCCGCCTCCTCCTCGGTGGTCAGCTGCTCAGACGCCTCTAGAGAAGGAAGCAGAGCAGGAGTTAGCACACCCAGGGCTCGGCCTGGGGAACAGATGAGCTCAGCCAGGACTCTTGGTCCCAGATTTGGAATAGACCCAAGAGCCTACGGTGATAAAGGCAAAGGGCAGAAGTGATTTTCAATAAACTGTCAATGCCTGGGTGACGGTGAGGGGAGTCCTGCCTGCAGCCGCCCTTTCTCTGGCCAGAATCATTCAGGATCTCTGCTGTCCTGCTTGGCACAGACGTCCGGCCTGCTCTCCCCGCCCTAACGGCCGCCAGCACTCAGCCAGTGGAGTGAAACATTGCCTAGAAACTGTGTCACTCGCTGCCTCCAATGTCAGCATGTTGAGTCCTTACCTTTCAAGTTTTCTCTTCAGTGGCACTGAAGGGAAACAAGGATAAAACACAATAGGGAAGTGCCACGACTTATGAGTGTTTAGATTACTGACTTTGGCCAGAACTTTCCAGCTCTCTCTGGAAAGGTCAGTGAGAAATCTGCCTTTTCTGGACGGGGCTTGCCAGTCACTGCGGGCTCTGCCTCCAAAGAAGGCAGAGCGTGTCCAAGATGGAGCCTTGTCCCAGCTGCAGGATGTGACACCCGAGTCTAAGACCAAGAGCTGGCAATGGACCGAATCCAGCCCACCCAGGGAGCTGAGAATTGTTTGTGCTCACAAATGGTGGTATTGTATTAAAATAAGGCTTATTTCTTTTCTAATTAAAAAATCATCCTTGTCTGTGTAAAAAAAAAAAAAAAAAAAAATTGTTTTTGCATTTTCAAAGGGTTAGGTGACAAACAGAATATGTGACAGAGATATGAGGCCTACCACGCCGGAAATACTTACTGCCTGGTCCCTCACACACACACCCCCCTCTAGATAACAAGGCACAGCTCTCCATTACTCCAGAGAGCAGAGCATATACTTCATCGGTCTCAGTACAGTCTGCAAAGGAAATCCCCTCTGGGCACATCCTCCCAAAGGAAAAGGGTCCCACGGATGAATGGAACACACGGCGCACGAGGTGCCCATCTCTGTGTCCCCGCCCGCAATTCCAGCTCAGGGCTCAGGGCTCAGTGCAGAGCAGTCGCTATCCAGTCCACCTTTACAGTCGTGTGTAATGTACAGGGTTCTGGCAGCTGCCATGAGTGGGACCTCAGGGAAGGAGCAAATCACAGCAAAGTGAGGCCGAGGCAAACAATTAAAGTCAACCCCAGGAGTCCATCCTCAGGCCCAGCTGGGAACCACGGTGTCAACCCAAAGCATCGATATTTTCTGCATCCTGGCCAAAATATAAGTTACCAAGACAGGACCGAAGACACAGACCAGCCTCACGATCACAAGAGGAAAGCTACCCGCGCAGACATCTATTCTGTTTACAAAACCATTAACTGGCCAAAAATCATCCCATTGGTGAATATTCAATGATGTAAACAAATGTTCATTGTCTTATGTGAAAATGGCAGGATTCAAAGTTGATGGTTTACATATATGAACTTCATTGAGTTGTACAGTTAACATGTGTGCATTTCACTGAACGTTACACCTCACAGGAAAAAAATTTAAGTGAGGAGGGGTACACTAAGCTAAAAGAAACTAAAGAAATACACTTCTAAAAGTGTGACCCTCATCGAAGCCGGTTTGGCTCAGTGGTAGAGCATCGGTTTGCGGACTGAAAGGTCCCGGGTTCAATTCCAGTCAAGGGCATGTACATTGGTTGCGGGCACATCCCCGGAAGGGGGTGTGCAGGAGGCAGCTGGCAGATGTTTCTCTCTCATCAACTTTTCTAGCTCTCTATCTTTCTCTCTTCCTCTCTGTTAAAAATCAATAAAAAAATAAATAAAAATTTAAAAAAAGTGTGACCCTCGTTTGGTTTGTACTGGTTCAATGGGGGAAAACACATTTTTAGGTCCTAAACGGTTTGGCTCAATGGATAGAACACCAGCTTGCGACAGAAGGGTCGCAGGTTCGATTCCAGTCAAGGGCATGTACCTTGGTTGTGGGCACATCCCCAGTAGGGGGTGTGCAGGAGGCAGCTGATCTACGTTTCTCTTTCATCGATGTTTCTAACTCTATTCCTCTCCGTAAAAAAAAAAAATCAATAAAATATGTATTTTGAAAAACCCACATTTTTGGGATAGGCAGGGAAAAATGAAGATGGACTAAGGACTGTCGAATATTATAGAATTAGTGCCTATTTTCCTACATGTGGTAACTAGTGTTTATATAGGAGACAATCCTTCTTATCAGAAGCTGTCAGTGTATTTTAAGTGAAGTGACTCTATGATTACAACTTACTTTCCAGCAATATGGCAAATATGCATATAGTATGCATATCAGCAACGCAAATGTGACAAGCAATTACGGCACAACGGTAACAGGAGACGGGCACATGTTTTTATTCTTTCAACTTTCCTACATTTGAAATGTTTATCATAAAAAGTTGGGGAGCTCTATATTATGATCTCAATTACATTATTATAAAGACATACATGGCATAATATCTGACCAGAAAAGTCAGTAATATTAACTCTTTACGATGTTCAATATCAAGTAAAATGACCTTCACAGGGTCATTTGTTGTCCTCCTTATAGCTTTTCTGTTCCTCCACAGCCTGTACTGCGTTAGAACACTGGGGGAAATTGGGAAGTGAGTCTGTTGCCGCCCAGAGATCCTGAGGCCCCATGGGGCGAGGGGGAGACCAGAGGATTTCCTAAGACTCTGACTCAAGCGCAGGCCTACTTCTGACTATAGGATCTCAAGACACTTTCCAAACCCCGCTTATCAGGACCCTTCTACCAGGAAAGCCATCGAGATGGGACTGACATTAGACCAAAAAGGACACATGGAACCTGTTCAGAAGGCTGGTAAGGCCCTCGGCCTTCCCACCCAGCTGATGGCACGAGGAAGGACAGGCAGGACAGGACAGAGGAGGAAAGGGTCTGGCGTCAGTCAGGAGTGACAGGGGGCCTGGTCACAGACAGAGGCTCATCAGCACTAATCCTACTGGACATCTGGGCTCCAGGCAGCACACGGGACAACCACTCCCTGCGCTCCAACGACACACTGCCGGGTTCCCCACATCCCCACCTACTCTTTTCCCCTCTGGCTCCTTCACAGGCTCCTCTTCCTCCTCTGTCCTCCTAACCCCAACCTCTGCTCACTGCCCTCTGTACCTCTCCCTGAGTGGCCAGCTCCACACACCCCAAGTCTGCATCCTCCAGACACTGATTAGAGGTGTCCAAACCCAACCCCAGGGAAGCACTCAACTCCGGCCTCTCCCCTCCTACCACCTTCATGGCTCCACATCAAATGGCCAAATCCAGCTGACTTTATGCCTACACCTTCATTACATCTTCTCCCCCGTCCGCTTCAGATCCGCAAATCAGAAGCCCGTCTGCTCCTCTCAAAGCCATTCTCGCCGAAACCGGTTTGGCTCAGTGGACAGAGCGTTGGCCTGCGGACTAAAAGGTCCCAGGTTCGATTCCGGTCAAGGACATGTACATTGGTTGTGGGCACATCCCCCGTAGGGGGTGTGCAGGAGGCAGCTGGTTGATGTATCTCTCTCATCCATGTTTCTAGCTCTCTATCCCTCTCTCTTCCTCTCTGTAAAAAAAATCAATTAAAAAAAAAAAAAAAAAAGCCATTCTCAATGCAAGCACTTGGTCAAATTTACAGGAGAAAGATTGCTCCATGTCACTCTTCTGTTTCAAATGCTTCAATCGCTTAATAAATTAGGTATCACATGAAATCCTACCCTCTCTATGGACTATCTGGAGGAAGCGCTAAGCCAAAGGCTGCCCCTCGGCCCTCAGCGTGGCCTCCTGCGGTGAGCTGCTTTCCTCCTGGTGAAGAGAGAAGACAACACTTACCATCCTCACTGCCGCCATCCTGCAACACAAGCGGGTGGTGGCGGGGCAGCTTGCTCAGGGGCTGGCGCCGGCCCTTGGACTTCTTCTTCGCCTCCAGGGAAAACATGTATTCACTCGCCACCTGGGCAAACCACAGAAGACATCAAATGGGTCTGGCCTCCACTTAGGGACACGGCAGAAGTCAGTCTTACCATGAAAGCCAAGGAAAAAAGCGGGCACAGAGACACACACAAAAACAGAAAACCAAACACAGAAAACACCGGTCTTAGAAGCACAAAAGGACGGTGCCTTGATGCAAACTAGTCTAAACTAGGATTGTGTGAACACTCTGCAGCAACATTTGTACACAGTAAGTGTGGTTCCGGGCAGCCTAAAACCAACGTACCAAAAACAAACCTACGCCAGTCCCTAAGCTCACGGTCATGAGCCCCAGAGAAACCCAGGCACCCCTCCCCTTGGACCGAAGGCCAGCAACACCTGTTACACAGTGCCACAGCTGGCCACCTAGGTGTGAAAGGCTAGAGGACATTTTTTTAAAAATATATATTTTATTGATTTTTTACAGAGAGGAAGAGAGAGGGATAAAGAGTTAGAAACATCAAAGAGAGAACCATCGATCAGCTGCCTCCTGCACACCCCCTACTGGGAATGTGCCCGTAACTAAGGTACATGCCCCTGACTGGAATCGAACCTGAGACCTTTTAGTCCACAGGTCAACTCTCTATCCACCGAACCAAACCGGTTTTGGCTAGAGGACATTTTAAAGGGTGAGGAGCAGCTGACCCATACAGGTAAGAGGCCTGTCAAGAAATGCACTGTGGAGACTCAGCCCCAGCTAACGCCATTCATTCATCTTTCTCCAGGGAGAACATGAGCCAGGACAGAGAGCACATCTTAAATAACGCTGCGTTTACATAAAACCAGTGAGGTTTAAGATGTATAGGACTGAGTCAGTAATAGCACATAAGAGTTTATTCCTGCCGAAATCGGTTTGGCTCAGTGGATAGAGCGTCGGCCTGCGGACTGAAAGGTCCCGGGTTCGATTCCGGTCAAGTGCACGTACCTTGGTTGCAGGCACATCCCCAGTGGGGAGTGTGCAAGAGGCAGCTGGTCGATGTTTCTCTCTCATCGACGTTTCTATCTCTCTGTCCCTCTCAATTCCTTTCTGTGTAAAATCAATAAAATATATTATAAAAAAAAAAAAGTTTATTCCTAATCCACATGTTTATAAAACTTGGGTATGCTGGCATTAGGAGACACGGAGTTGAAGCAAAAGGAAGGAAATGAAGTGAGGCCTGGAAAAGAGCCACCTTGCAACTGCAAGAACACTGGAGAGCAGCGGAGCCACCGCGGAGGCCAGGGCCTGCCCAGAACCCCAGGATAAGAACCACACTTGGAATGTTATGAAAACTCTGAGCAGGATACATCCAAACAGAACAGAGCCTGCTCTCCCACACATACATTTAACCAGCGAGTTTTAGACAAATATTTACTGAGATGAACGAGTGCAAAGGCCTGCTGAAGAAAGGAGCAAGGTGTGGAGAAAAGGTCTGACAGAACGTGATCCCTGCATGCAGGAATGTGCTGGAAGAGTGAGGACGTTAGGGACCTCTTCCCACTGATGTCCGTGTCTCAGATAATCAGACTTTTCATCAGATCTCCAAATGTTCATCAAAAGGGCCCTCAAGCGCCTCCATTAGAGTGAGCAGGCAGGGCACAGGCCCCCACCCCCCCACCTTCATCCCACCAGAACCACCCTGCTTTTGATTCACATGTTATGAATGATTTCACTTAGTTCTTTGGCTAAAACAAACTGGAAAACCCATACTCAAATTTGATAGTGCTATCATAAAAATAAAAAACTTAGGAACACGCACCCCCAATGTATGTATATTTACTAATGTATTATATACACTAAAGTACTTATGCACACTTTAAAAGAAAAGGATATTTTAAGTTCCATTCTCTTATTCGTGCACCCCACTAATCTTCTGGTATTCCCCACTTTGAAAACCACCTAGACAACAGGCCTGAAGTGGTAAGTGCAGAGACTAGAAGGAAAGGAATAAGAACAAAGGAAGCAGAGGTGATGGGGATTCCTAGCCTGAGTCACCAGGGGGAAACTTAAAGAGAACTCACGTGGATGGAGAGGGGGGACAGCATAGGCCAGGTTAAACAGGCTGCACCGGGTTCACACAGCCTGTATCTCTGGGTCCTTCCTCTGGCAGCAGAGACTTAACCAAAGAACTGAGACAAGTGCAGAACTGAGGTCAGAGTGAGAGCTATGGATCTGGGAATCCTCAGCATCTAATTAGCAACCGTAGCAATCCTTTGTCATGTTAACACATCCACAGGGATCATGGGAGTGGAGAAGACTCTCAATGGAAGAGAGACCCCAGCCTTCCAGGACAGGAAGGAAGAAAAAGAAAGATTTGGAAGTCGGTGGTAAGAGGAACAAAACAGGGAGGGAGGGCTGCCAGCAGGGAAAATCCGCTGGGACAAAGAACTCAGAATTACTGAGCAGGAAGTGGCCGATGGCCTGGGAAGAGGAGAGGGGAACTTTTTTGAGAGAAATTCCAGCAGGAAGAGTAAGGAACTAAGGAGTAAACACATCACAGAGGCTATTTTGGAGGATCCAGGGGAGGAATGAGAGCATAGCTTGGGTAGGAAATCTCCTCCAATATTTTAGGATAGGGGCTATGTGAGGAAGGTCTTCCAGGCAGAGAGGAAAGAAGTCTGTGAAAGGAGAGAGATCTGGAATGACCCTCCCCCCCCCCCCCCGCCCCCCAAAAAAATGGCCCGTCCTAATCCCCCTGAATGTGCTAACATAACAAAGGATTGTTAAGGTGGCTAATTAGATAACCTGAATGTAGTGAGATTATCCTGGATTACCCAGGCGCGCCCCACACAATCCAACTCGCTTAACCTTGAAGAGTCAGTGTCAGTGGAGTGAGGGAGAAACTTGGCCTTGGCGGGAAGCTGCTGCCCTTGAAAGTGGAAGAGGGCCCGGGTGGTAGAAGCAGGAGGAGCAAGGAAACAGATCTACCGAGAGCCTGCAAGAAGGGCCGGGCCGGGGCCGCAGCCCTGCAAACGCCTTGACTCTGCACAGTGAGGCCCATCTCAGACTTCTACACTGAACAACTAGATAGATCTGTGTTAAGTTTGTGGCTGTTAAAGCAGCAACAGGAAACAATTAAGAGGCGGGAGGTGAACACAGATCCCTTCGTAAGTCCAAGTACAGGAGGAAGACGAGGGGCTGCGGTTAAGAACCCCGGAGTGAATGCAGCTTTGGGAAAGTGGGACGCCACCTTCATTCACGTGTTCTCGGGGCCTCCTACACACCCAGCGCCTCCGTACCCAGCACACACCGCGGCGGCGTGGCCATGCAGAGACAGGTGGGACACCCTCTCCTCCCCTGGGAGCCGAGGACCCAGCCAGAGGGCGGCCTGGAGCCCCCTCTCAAGTCTGTGCCCTTCCCACCACCATCAAGCTGCCTGGGACTCAAGCAGTCGGTCTATTCAAATTCCAAGATCATTTTAGGGTCAAAGGCTCCCCGGCTGCCTCAGGGCATCACACCCTTCCTCACAGGGTGGCCCCTCCAGGCAAAGTGCTGGGACTTTTCAACTCCCTCAGTCCCGCAGGCGGCCAATGTAACCAACCAGCTGAGTGAGCTCAGGCAAGTAGCAAGCCGCTGGTAAAATGGGGATAAGGAGTGCGGCCCCACGGGGCAGGGTGAGGACGGAGGGGGGAGCACGTAGGGTCTGCCAGGCCCCCGCCCCATGAGAGCTAGAGCTCAAGCCACTCCTCCCTTCCCGTCCTCCGTGCCTCCTTCTAACCTCGGGCACCCAGGGTCAAGGTCAATGCTCCTTGCAGAGAAGGCCCAGTTGTTCTCTCCTGTTTGGGAACACTAAAGAGAACTCTCACAGCCAGCACCTGCTGTGGCCCAGTGCGCTCTTCAACGAAACCCCTAAGGCTTCGGTGCTTGGTACGGTAGTGAGTCACCAGGCGCTTTTACCAGGGCCCTTGACATAAGACATGGCACACAAACTGCTTCCCAAGGGGCCCAAGTTATACCTTGGGGGGCGGTTAACGGAGGGGGTACACAAGGTGCTCTTAGAAATCCAGCTGTTCCCACCGTGTTAACACAACTCTCTACGGCGGCAAAGTGCTTCCGCTTCTGCCCCCAGCTTGCCGGCCTCCCTGCCGTGAATGTGCACGCAGCGCCTCACTGAATCTGAACTTCCCTTCCTGCCGCACAGAAGGCTCTGGCCGAGCCCTCAAGCAAAGCTGAATGTGGCACAGGGCCTGGCTACTTACTGGAAACTTATCTGAGCAGCTCCAGGCCAACTCCTACTCCCATCCTTTCCTCCAACCAACAGCCCAAGGCCTCACCATCCTGCTTTCAGGAACAGACTCCAAATTGGTTTCCCTATTGCAAATCCTTATTTCTCCTTTCCTGAAGTAGAAGCATGTAAAAATAACGTATTAATCACAAAAATATTCAAGCAACTCATAAATGTAGGAAGTGAAAATCCATAATTCCACCTTCAATTTCTAATTTTGCCTCATTTCTTCCCCCTCTAAAAATCTTTATACTGATTCCAAAATGATCTTCTGAAACATCAGTAAAGAGCTTTAAACCCCTTCACTGCACAATCTAAAGAACTAGCATTGTCTTGAGTAAGTCAATGGTAGGAAAAAGGGAGGGGAACACTAGATTAACATAGACTTAAGAGACATAATAAACAAATGTAACGCAAAAGACTAGATTAAACCTTGACTCAAACAAACCTACCATAAAGTATATAAATGTTTAAACAATTTAGAAAATTTTATTATGGAGTGGGTATTAGCTGATGCTAAAGAACTTCTGTAATGTTGTTGGGTATAATAATGGCATAGGGATTAAGAAAATATCCAGCCGGGACCGGTTTGGCTCAATGGATAGAACGTCGGCTTGGGGACTGAAAGGTCCCGGGTTCGATTCCGGTCAAGGGCATGTTCCTTGGTTGCGGGCATATCCCCAGTAGGAGGTGTGCAAGAGGCAGCTGATCGATGTTTCTAACTCTCTATCTCTCTTCCTTCCTCTCTGTACAAAATCAATAAAATAAAAATAAAATTTTTAAAAAAAGAAAATATCCATATTGTGGCCCTAGCTGATTTGGATCAGTGGATAGAACATTAGCCCTCAAACTGAAGGCTCCCGGATTCAATTTCGGTCAAGGGCACATACCTCAGCGGCAGGCTCATTCTCCACCCAGGTGGGGATGCATATAGGAGGTAACCAACCGATGTGTCTCTCTCACATCGATGTTTCTCTCTTTCTCCCTCCCTTCTACTCTCTGAAAATCAATGGAAAAATATCCTTGGGTGAGGATTAACAAACAAAAATCCTATATACTAAAAGGCTAATATGCAAATTGACCAAATGGCAGAATGACCGGTCGCTATGACACACACTGACCACTGGGGGCAGATACTCAATGCAGGAGCTCAAAGCCAGAAGCCAGACTGTACAAGTACAAGGCGGAGGCACAAGCCTCTCCTGCCTGCACAGCAGCGCTACGGATATCCAACTGGCGGGGAGCGAGCCTAAGCTGGCAGTCAGACCTCCTCCAAGGGCTCCCAGACTGCAAGAGGGTGCAGACCAGGTTGAGGGATCCCACCCCGATGTATGAATTTCGTGCACCAGGCCTCTAGAAAGTAAGTAAGTAAATAAATAAATAAATAAATAAATAAGCATAATAAAATATCCATTTTTTTAGAGACACACACTGAAGTAGAAGGAAATGACGTGCTATTTCAAATATGCTTTAAAATACTTCAGCAAATAAAAAAAGAATAGGTGAAGCAAAAGCGACAAGATATTGAGAACTGTCAGATCCAGATGATGAGAATTTGTGGGTTCACTATATTATTCTGTACACATCTTTGTGCATTTAAAAAATGTACTATGGCCGAAACCGGTTTGGCTCACTGGATAGAGTGTCAATCTGCGGGCTGAAAGGTCCCAGGTTCGATTCCGGTCAAGGGCATGTACATTGGTTGTGGGCACCTCCTCGGTGAGGGGTGTGCAGGAGGCAGCTGGTCGATGTTTCTCTCTCATCGATGTTTCTAGCTGTCTATCCCTCTCCCTTTCTCTCTGTAGAAAATCAATAAAATATATATATATTTTAAAATGTACTATGGAGCCCAGCCAGCGTGGCTCAGTGGTTGAGGTTGACCTATGAACCAGGAGGTCAGGATTTGATTCCCAGTCAGGGTACATGCCCAGGTTGTGGGCTCAATCCCCTGTGGGAGGCATGCAGGAGCAGCTGATCAATGATTTTTTTGTCATCATTGATATTTCTATCTCACTCTCCCTCTCCCTTCCTCTCTGAAATGAATAAAAATGAATTTTTTAAAATGTCCTATAGAAATCTTCAATCTCCAAAACCACACTGCGGAAAACCTCCCACTGCTCCCACACAACTCTGAGGTCAGATTGCTTCACACAGCAGAACCCCCCTGACCTGGGTCCTGACTCATCCCTCCCTGGCCTCTCCAGTCCCATATGCCTGAGGCAAATGGAACCTCTTAGGCCTCCCCACCAGGCTCTGACCTTGGCGTGAGCTACCACCACCACAGAGGTCACTCTCCTCTCCCAGACTCTCTCTCCAATTTCCCTCTGTCCACTTGGCATACCCCTGCCCGCCTCAGGCCTAAAACACTTCCTTCTCGGCACTGTTCCTGAACACCTCACCCCAACCCCAGGCAGGTTGTTCACTCCTCTGCCTGTGCCGCATCATGGATCACTAAGTATCAGAACTATCTGTTCCCATCTGTCCACTCATCCAGACTGTGAGCTCCTTGAAGGCACTGTCCGAGCCCAGAGTAGGCATGCCACAACGGCGATAGAGTAAAGCGAAGGAGGCAGCCAAGGTATCATTAGAGAAGTTGAAGTTGTTCAGAGATCCCAGCACAGCAAGGGGAGGCCGAGGAGAGACTGTTAGTGTGGAGTGGAGAAGGGTGTCCCCATCACACCACAGCTAAGAAGTCGATACAGAAACAAAAGGAGCCAGGAAGGCACTCAATGGTTCCTGAGCAGGGGTCCAACGACAGAGGCATGCTGGAGCAGCCTCCTTCCCCGGCATATCGACCATCACTCCAACACACAAGATTGCTGCCCCCATGTGGTGATAGATGGCCACCACAAGGTGATCAGCAGGGAAGGACAGTTGGGAGGGATCAGGCCTGCAAGAGAGGGCAGTTGGGGGCGATCAAGCCTGCAGAGGAGGGCAGTTAGTGGTGACCAGACCTGCAGGGGAGGGCAATTAGGGGCAAACAGGCTGGCACTAGGATTGGGCCTAAACGGGCAGTCGTACATCCCTCAAGTGGTCCCAGATTGGAGAGGGTGAAGGCTGGGCTGAGGGACACCCTCTTAACCCCGTGCACAAATTTCATGCATTGGGCCTCTAGTCAATAAATAAAAATAATTTTTAAAAAGATGGGTGTTATTACTGGCTCCCCCCTGTGGTTGGATTAATAAAGCAGGAATACATAGTCTAAGCCACCGGTTGCCAACCTTTCGAACCTCGGGGACCACCCGTGGTCCATGGGCCACAGGTTGGCGACCGCTGCTCCAAAGGTTTCCTTAAACCAGCGGTCACGACTGCTCGTCTAAGTAATGCATAGGAAGTACTCCACATACAGTAAGTCCTTGCTATCGTTAGCTGCTTTTATGGTTGTGATTGCAACTGAAGGCAAGAAAGCTGAGATGACACTGCGAGAGAGGAATAGTGCGGCCTGTGGCCTGACAGCGGGAGGGACGAGAGCGCACAGAGCTTTGTGAAGGAAGAATGGCTCGGATGCAGCAACAGGAATGTGAGGGATTCCAGCTTCCAAGCTGAAAAGCCCTCTCTTGTGGGAGCTGCCATACAGAGACAGAGCAGCAAGCAGAGGCCATGAGGAGGAGGTGAGGCGGCATCGGCTGAGGAGCTGCGCCCACTGCGAGGAGGGAGGGGGCCCCTGGAAAATTCTACAGACCCTGAGCCCCGAGATCCAGAGACAGCGAAAGAAAACTACACGGAAATTAAAGGCAAGGGGACAAACCAACCACAAAAGGGCACCAGAGAGGGATTCTAATACGGACTGTTAGTTCTCCAGCCAAAGAGATAAAGCCAGTGGGCCAAACGTTCATGTGCAGACGATGAATATACCTGGGGGGCTTGTGATGGCATTCGAGCTGAATATACTTTAGAAATGTTTCATAACAACTTTTAAAAGATAAGTTCTCAAAGGTAAGGTAAGGGGATGGGGAACAAAGAAGACCTTCTGCACTGACTTCTGTCCACCCCCCTCCACCCAAGGCTGCAACTTGACCCGCAGATCCTCTGAGGCGGGGAGGAAGAGCAGGTGCGTGGGTAGGTGTGAGCCCAGCCGCATCCAGCCCAGCTCTGCTCTGTCCCCCAGACCCTCCCAGAGTGCTCCGGGAGGAAGCCTGAACGATGCCCCGTGGATGGCTTTGGGGATTCACCCCAGTCTCCGAAGGGATACTCTATCAACAAGGCAATTCTGGGAGACGAAGGATCATGTGGGAGGAAGGAGTGGAGGGAGAATTCTCATGGGAGTCTACAGGGCAGGCATAATTTTAAGGGGGAAAAAACTTGAATTTTAGAACAAGAAAGGCCATCATTCCCCACTCTCAAATTTTTGGGCTGCAATCACTGCCACCCTAACCCTTGAACCTCTAAGGCGAGGAGGGTCAGAGGATGCTGATCCGCCTCGGTCCCGGAGGCTGCAGTGCAATTCTTTGGAACAGGCACACAGAGATCTAAGAGAAAGGAACTCCTTTCTGGAAGTGAGCCAACGCCACCTGGCTGTCCACTCCGCACCACGGCAGACTGGAGGTCCACCCGAAGGTTACTCCTGCCATCCTGGACACCGCTGCACCCGGTCCCCCACACACATACATACACACACACACACACACACACACACACACACACACACACACACGGTCCCTTCCAGCCAGCCCCCCCCCCCTCACACACACACACACACACACACACACACACACACACACACACACACGGTCCCTTCCAGGCAGCCCTACCTCCGCCAGCTCCCGCTCGCTGATACTTCTGGTGGCGCTCCTTTTCTTCCTCTTGCACGGCTCTCCTGCAGCGACCCTGCCGTCCCCTCGGCCATAGCCGTGCGCAGGGAGAGCTCCCGTCTGCCCTTTGCCTTGGCAGGACAGGGGCTCACTGGTCTCTGAATCGGAAGAAATAGAATCCTGGGATGAACTGGAGCCCAGGCTGGAAGAGGATTTCTTTTTGGGACCTGAGAAGACAAGGTGTCCCCCTATAGAGGCAGGAGCCATAGAAAGATCCAAGGCAGCCGCTGCTTCCTCCTCCTCCTCCTCGTCCTCCTCCTCTTCTAGTTTGACGTTTTTAAGCTCTTCAAATTTGACTTCAGTCGAGTCAGAATAATCTGAAACACACATACACATTGGATAGAGCCATCTTCCGCCCGCACATTTCAACTTCGAGAAAGGCAGTGACGGAACACCAAGAGCAGGGGCAGGGTGAGGCCTGGCCTTGAACTCCCACAAGGTCCCTGTGTGATGAGGGGCTGCTTATCCTCTCTGGGCCTCCAGTTTCATCCTCTCTCACGCAAGGTGCTACCAGGGTCTGTACAAGGCGGAGCACAGCCTGGCACACATGGCAGACACTCATTAGTGCCAGTTGCCGTGACCGCAGAAGGCTGGCAGGAAATGAAGCCCAAGCCCAGGAGAGACCTGGGCCCGGGAGAGACCTGGCCCGGGAGAGACCTAGCACCCCCGGCTGGACAACCTGAATGAAGGCAGCCGAGGCCCAGGTGGAGTCCATAGAGCTGTCTGGCTCTCAGCAGAGGCACCGACAAAGTGGCGTCAAGCCTGACCGGACACTGACACAGCCCGTCCCCAACAAACCTACCCTCACAGCCATCCGTCCGAGGGCGGCTCTAGGACTGCGGTCGGCCACCAGAGCCGCGGCCACTGGTGGTCCGTGAGGCCCGAAAGGTTGGTGACCTCTGCTCTAGAGCACTGACCCCATCACTCCCCCCTAAAATACAAGTGGCTCCTCGGGCCTCCCAGTGAGCCACGCTAAGGTGGCAGGCCGTCCCTACATCCTCTCGCTTCCATTTCTCTCGCTCATTTCCTGGTAGCACAGCTGTCTCCCGCCCCCATATTCCAATGCAGAAAATCACTACCAGCTTCCCAAACAGCTGTCCTTTCACGGCTCCGTGCCTCCCCCCCTCTCACCCCCGTCCCCCCCCCCCCCCCCCCCCCCCGTCCCCCGCTGTGCCTCTAGGGGATGCCTTCTGATGTCTCCAACGCTGCCTGGAAAATTCCTACTGATCTTGTCCCCTTGGGTTCACCGTCACTTCTCCAAAGCCTCCAGTGTCTCCTGGACCCCTCTCCGGGCAAAGGGAGGGGGGCCTTTCCCCTCCGTTCCTCACCTGCCCTGTGTGTTCCTAACCAAAGGGCTCCTCACACTCAGGCTTTCTCATATCTGTGACCCAGCACTCGGCACGGCAGCCCACACAGAACAGAGCACAGGCGGGCTGGGGGAGAACCCCGCGCCAGCTGACCTGGGAGGGGGAGGCCGTCCTCCACCGGCCGCACGGAGCTGTGGGTGGGCCTCACGGGGGCCAGCGCCGCCTGGCACGCCGTCAGGTCGTACTGGCTGGAGCCCAGCTCCTCCTTGGGGAAGAGCTCGCTCTGACTGACCTCCTGCGGGATTTCAAGACACACTCGGTGCCTCTTTGTCCCTATGCGGTGCTTGGCGAGGCTGCAAGGAGAGAGGAAGCTGTTTAAGGGCCCACGTATGGACCCACGGACACAAACACTCCACACACAACCCAAAAACGAGGAGCAGAGCCCATCAGGCCTGCTTCACACCACGGTTCCCCATTTGTGGAACCCGAGATGAAGGACTTTGCCCTTGAGCCCGTCCCATCCAGTGGGAAACAGGGATATCACCCCTCACCATGAGGCCTAAGAAACGATAGGCTGAGTACGAAAGCGCCTGGCACACAGTAGGAGCCCATCCATGTCTCTCCTTCCTTCCCCACATGGCCTAGGCCAGTGGTCGGCAAACTCATGAGTCAACAGAGCCAAATATCAACGGTACGACGATTGAAATTTCTTTTGAGAGCCAAGTTTTTTAAACTTAAACTTCTTCTAATGCCACTTCTTCAAAATAGACTCTCCCAGGCCATGGTATTTTGTGGAAGAGCCACGCTTAAGGGGCCAAAGAGCCGCATATGGCTCTCGAGCAGCAGTTTGCCGACCACAGGCCTAGGATAAACGATCCTTAGGAGATAGATCCTCTGGCTCAAACACTGATAAGGCCAGGAATCTCATTCATTTCCACTACCACACGCTCTTTTTTTTTTTTTTTTTTTTTTTAAATAGGAACTGCTTCACAAATTTGCATGTCATCCTTGTGCAGAGGACATGCTAATTAATCTGCCCAATTTTAGTAGGTGTGCTGCCATAGCAAGCACCACACTCTCTTTTTTTAAAAAAACTCTCATGTCTGGCCGGTGTGGCTCAGGGGTTGAGCATCGATCTATGAACCAGAAGGTCAGGGTTTGATTCCCGGTCAGGGCACATGCTGGGTTGCAGGTCCAATCCCCAATAGGGGTCATGCAGGAAGCAGGCAATCAATGAATCAATGATTCTCTCTCATCACTTGTTTCTCTCTCCTCCCTTCCTCTCTGAAATCAACAAAAATACATTTTTAAAAAAGCTCTCATGATGTAGATGAGATACTGTGACTTTTCTGGCCCAGAGGGAGCTGTGCCCTGGCACATGCGTGACCCTCGCTCCAGCCCACCACAGGCGCACCCACAGATGCTATGGTTCCTGGTAACAGCCACCGGGGGGCCTGAATGCCCTCACTCTGAGGACGCTGGAGCCCTCACCCAGAAGATTCCCTCATCTGTGGCTCAAACTCCCTCCTTAGAACCAGCCTCTCCGCAGCTGCCTGCACGTCCCTCCCTGAACAGCTGGCCCCGCGGGCTGCTCCTTACCTTCTCTTCAGGTGATCCTCCTCGCCATCCTCCATTCCTTCCATGTCCTCCTCCGGGCACTCCTCCTCACTCACGGCCCTTGGGGGCAGTTCACTCTCCTTAAGAAACTCGGCAGCTTCTGGCGTGGGCAGAGTATGGTCGATGACCGTGCTGTCCTTCCCAGCTTTCCAAAGTTTGTACCTTTCTGGCTGGAACTTCCTCACAAACACATCCATGGAGATCTTCACCATATCCTTCCTACAGGAGCACTGTCGCAAGTAACCAAAGAGCCCGAGGTGAGCACCCTTTACCTGCCCCCTCCTGACCCCCACATCCCGTCCCCTCCCCTGCAGGTGGACAAAGGTCCAAGACAGTTCTGGGCTCAGAGGCTGAAGGCATCTGGTCCTTGCAGAGCTTCCGAGAGGAAGGGAAGCCGGGAACTAGGGTCGAGAATGCATGGCACTGGGCGACCCACCCAGGCACTATGGAGCTGCAGGAGAACCGATAGATGGGAAGCTCAGCCCTCAGACCCCAGATGGTCCACAGCCACCTTCCTGTTGATATCTACCCAAGGCCAGGACCACACAAGCGAGTCTACTCCCTCTGCTTCCCTCAAGTAAAAGTAAAACCCTCTCCGAAACCAGTTTGGCTCAGTGGATAGAGCATCAGCCTGCGGACTAAAAGGTTCCAGGTTCAATTCCGGTCAAGGGCATGAACCTTGGTTGTGGGCACATCCCCAGTAGGAGGTGTGCAGGAGGCAACGTTTCTCTCTCATTGATGTTTCTAGCTTTCCATCCCTCTTCCTTCCTCTCTGTAAAAAAATCAATAAAAAATATTAAAAAAGAATTCCAAAAAAAAAAAAAAAAAAAAAAGGTAAACCCCTCAGACTTTCTCAACAGAGAAATCCCAGTGGCTGAAGCCAGAGTGTCAATGTGTGTGTGGGTGGCTTGAACGCCCAATGGACTGAAGCACGAAAACCTCACTTTATACATCCCGAATGTGAACAAATTTTTAACGAACGCAAGATGTTGGGCACTTTTGCACATTCCCAGCCACTTGGTTTCTGAGTTCCAGGAGTTCAAAAAAAAGTTCTCGGCCAGTGCACCTAACAAGAGCCAGACATTGTTAGGCAGAGGGACAGAGGCCAAGCCAACTCACCAGCACGGCCTGTTTGCCATACTCGATCCACCGCCGCGTAGCAAAATTGGTAGACTCCGCACAGTTGAAGCCGTGGTTAAAGCCGGCGTGGTAGCCATAAGGAAAGGTGATCATAAACTCTCCAGCTTCCTGCGTGACCTGAACGAGAGCAAAGAGCGGACTTGAAGCAGCTGCATCGAGCTGCAGGCGTCCGCAGAACGGGACCTCTGAGCCCCAGCTCTGCCTCAACTTAGCTGAATGGCCAAGATAAGCCATCAAACCACTGGGGCCTTGGTGCCTTCTACTAAATGCAAAGCCCCATCGTATCACATTAGAACGCCGTGACTATGATAACCATTCTTCCAGAGCAGTGATCAGCAAACTGCGTGTGTGTCTCCTCCACAAAATATCACGTACCTACCTATATAGTTTAAGTTTTAAAAAATTGGCTCTCGCCGAAACTGGTTTGGCTCAGTGGTAGAGTGTCGGTCTGCGGACTGAAAGGTCCCGGGTTCGATTCCAGTCAAGGGCATGTACCTTGGTTGCAGGCACATCCCCAGTGGGGGGTGTGCAGGAGGCAGTTGATCGATGATTCTCTCTCATTGATGTTTCTAACTCTCTATCCCTCTCTCTTCCTCTCTGTAAAAAATCAATAAAATATATTTAAAAAAAAAAAAATTGGCTCTCAAGAGAATTTCGCCAAAACCGGTTTGGCTCAGTGGTAGAGCATCAGTCTGCAGACTGAAAGGTCCCAGGTTCAATTCTGGTCAAGGGAATGTACCCAGTAGGGGGTGTGCAAGAGGCAGCTGGTCAATGTTTCTCTCTCATTGACGTTTCTAGCTCTCTCTCTCCCTTCCTCTCTGTAAAATATCAATAAAATATATTAAAAAAAAAAAAAAAGAATTTCAATGGTTGTACTGTTGATATGTGGCTCTGTAGACCAATGAGTTTGCCGACCCTGTCTCAGAGGAACTCTGTTCACGGGATTTGACTCTCACCCGGTCCCGGGAAGGCAGAGCAGCCCCACCTTCAGCACCCTGATATCAGAGTGCTGTTCGCTTTGGCCCACACCTGGCACAGGGGAATGAACTAGAATAAAGCTCCGTGAAACACGGGCCAGAAAGGGTGGTTTCCACACGAGGCTAAGGACTTCCATATGTAAATAAAATCAGCTCACCTTGTCAAAGGGAATTCCGTATTTCTTCAGCATTAAAGGGGAAATCAAGGTCATCTTATGGCGGAGAAAAGCCTCACAGCTCTGAGCGCTTCCTGGGAAGAAGCCTGTTTAGTTGGAAATAGGCACAAGTGAGCGGTGCTCCACACATGCTCCGTAACCCAGCATCCCGGCCCTGTGCACCTCGTCTGGACAGAGAGGGGGATGAAGCAGAAGGTGATCTCGGTGGATCCTTCCGCTCCAGCCCAGCTCTAAGCCTCTGCAGTGACCCTCTGGGCTCTCCCGTGTAGGCCGTCACTGGGTGATCAAATTGTCTGGGGAACTGAGATGGCCCGAGCAGCCTCTTTTCTGATAAAGAGCTTTAAAACGCTTTCGGACCTTTCTCCATTCCGCTGCCTCCTCAGTCTTTTGTTAGTAACACATCTACTACAGAGCAGACTACCCACGCTCTCCTGAAGCGGGCTCTCTGGAGGAATAAATCTATCAAAGTCCACTTAAAAGAGTCAAAGCGTTAAATAATTCAATCCTGACTTGAACGTCTGGGTTTCTGGCAGAAGACTGAGACCCAGTATGACTGGTATTCGATCTCCGGTCAAATAAATCCATGCCTGAGAGAACCGAGGCAAAGACAGGCTAAGAGGGAATTCCGGAGTCCCTTCCCAGGACAAAGTAGGGAGAGGCTCTGCTTTGAGTTGCTCCATGAGGATAACCAACCTGGCCTTCTGGCTTCCCCCCACCTGCAGGCCTGAGAAAGGCCACGGGAGAACCTGACCACAGAGAATGAACCGTCAGGGCAATGAGCACAGCTCACAGCGGGCTGAGCCGGCTGTGGAGGAGACAGTACCTTTGGCGAGGCGCTCCAGCCGCTTCCCGTGCTCAGGGGGCACGGAGTACCTGCAATCACATAAAAGCATGGGACGTGAGCAGAGGACAGGACAGGAGCGGAAGGGGCTCGTTCCCACTCTCAAAACAGCTCAACGTGGCAGGTTTCTCAACCTCCCAACTACGGAAACGAGAACGGAAACCCGGAGAAATGAATAGACAGTTTGGGCAGAGCAGTGGGGAGCCCACAGAGAAGTGTGAGTGAATTCCTCCTTTAGATTCATTAATGAGACACGCTGTTTACTGTGAGCCACGACTTAGGTGTGCACTCAACGTTGCTCTCCTTCATGATGTCATAAATGAAATGAAGTGAAATGAAATGAAATGGAAGAAGGATGGCATTAAAGTGCTCTGGCAGACCTGATGGCCTGACTGTGACAGGATAAAGAATGGAAAACAAGGCAAAATGGATTAGACCTGGCCCCATATTTGCTGTTGCTCCAGTTATACTGATTACCCAGTTGTTACTCCTCCATCCAGACACCACAGAAACTGCTCCTCATTAAAAAAAGACCAAAAAAACATGTAAGACTATTCAAAACTTTTGCTAAACTACTATACATCCTGAAATGCACAGTAAGTCCATTTTAACCTTTGTAATCAAGTCTAAAGATTATTCCACAACGAAAACTTCCCGAAAGCTTCATTATGAAACAAAACAGAAGAGGAGCGGAGGAATGTCTGTCAAGGAAAGCACTGGGGGCCGCCTTGCCCGCCGACCTCTGGAGGTCCCACCTGCTGACCCGGGTAGGGCGTGTGACAACCAGAAAACCTGCTGGACGTGAGAACAGAAACCCATTCCCAGGGAACTTGGGCGTCAACGTGGTGAAGACACAAAAGCTACACTGACAGAGCCACCTAAGGGAATGGGGCAGTAGGTCAAAAATTTTACCCAAAGATTAGAAACTCAGAAGTATTTAAAAGAAGAAAGGAAAACCCCTGGGAAGGGATGTGGCTTTAGGTGCTGGAAAAGGGCAGGAAGGTGGATCCAGTGCCCAGTGTCCAGGACTCCTCCTGGCCTGGCCCATGCTGCTCCTCGGGCCTTCTCTCTCACTTCCATCGTAGTACCCGGCACCCAAACCACTATGCACTTCCTCTAGTTCACTCAAGACACTGTGCTGCCTCTAAACTTAGGATCTTTGCACGAGTCTTCCAACCACTTAGACACACGTCCCTCAGCCTCCCTTCTGAACCCACCATTGTCCCACCCAGCTACTCAGCTCCTTCTTTCTCATTTGCTAGGTCTCAGCCTCATTGTCACCTCCTTCAGGGACACCCTCTCTTGTGCCCTCCCCACATGGCCCTACAGCATCCCCCGTCTCCCATTACAGCTCTCCTCACCCCGTGCTGTGCTGTTTCCTCGCCATTTCCTCACACTCCGCATCTCCCGTCTGTGAGGGTAGCTACCTCACCTGCCTTATTCCCTGCTGTGGAATGCAGCACCTTCACTAAGTGCTGAGCGGAATGATGGGCCAGCAGAGGGGGAGAAGAGAGAACACAGCTTTGGCTCCCCAGCTAGACTGAGGTCATCCTGGAGAGCAGGAAGCATCTGCTGAGCAGCCTTGCATCTCCTCTGTGTTAAGCACACACTGCTGCTCACCAAATATTTTTTCCCACGAGGCAAAGAAAGCTTTCTATCATCTGAAGGCGGGACTCCAGCCTTGGAAGTCTGCCTCTAAGCAATGCCTCGGGGCCTGCTCAGAAAAAGAAAGCGGAGAGCGATGGGAGAGGGGGGAGCAGCCGCTGTGACTCGCCCTCACTCAGCCAGCACACGCCTGCACGCAGTGGTACCAAGGGCCCTGCCCTCTGAAGCCTGCTTCTCCAAAGGCAGTCTGAGCAGCAGAGCTCCGAGGGCACCTCATCACTTGGAAGTCTGTTTAAAATGTAAAATGCCACTCCCACCCCACGCCTACTGAACCCCAGTCTGCATTTTAACGAGCTCTGGAGGCGTTTCCTGGGCACAGGAGAGCCGAGAAGCCCCCCCCTCCCTCCCGGGAAGCTCCAGTGCCCACGGCAGGCTGACTGTACCAGGACTTGGGCTCTCCGAAGTGCAGGTAGTTGATGCTGTACAGGTCCATGTCTTCCGTGTGCCAGGCAAAGGACGTCTTCCACATGCCGAAGTACAGGTACGGGGTGTTCACGCCCTCGATGGTGATCCCACTCTCCTTCTCCACCAGGTCCAGGATTGTTCGCAGCCGGCCAATGTTCCACTCGTCCACATGCTGCAAAGGGAACGACAGTCCAGGGCAAGTGACGACAATTATAAACCGAGGCTCCGAACCTGCAAATCACGGAGCAGGTCCCAGGGGAGCCGTCCCCTCTAACACAGATGTGGAATCATGTCAAAACCGCAGGGGCAGGGAGACCACGGCATCTCTCAGCCACGCTTCATGCCACCACGGGAAATGGGGCCAGGGTACCTCTGAAGGACAAATACCACTTTGTATATGAAAAATGGATAACAAGGTGACAGCCACCCGTTCTAAACCCCACTATAAAGAGTTTTGAACTGAAGCTAAGGAAACTTATGTCAAAATGGAGGGGGGGGGAGGGATTCTTAAACCATAAAAATATAACACACGAGAATGAACTAAATAGGCCTGTGACTTTTCTAGCCCCACCTTCCCCTGAGCAGTGTCACCCACGTCCTTTTCTGAGTCGTGACGGTCAACAAGGTGCCCACCTCCCATGGCACGTGATGGGTTACGATTCCCTGCTTGTGTCTCCCCATCCCAGGTCCTTTTAGCATCTTCCCACCAAAATCCCCCTGCTTCCCTTCCCCACCACCCAAAACACTCAACAAGCCGGAATCCTCTTTTTAAAACCCCTTCCTTCCAATAATTTACAAAAACTGGAATTCATCTGAGTGATGATCCCTGAAATGTGCTACAAAGTTTTTAATCATCCAAAAAACTCTTCCAAGCATTCCCTCCTTTTACACACCACGCCAGTGCAGCTGGTTAAAACAGCTTTGGCTATAGAATCTTGTTTGCTGGTTCTGAAAATCGAAGTAAGTTGCAGTTCTTAAGTATATATTACTTTTCTTAGATTATAGTCAGCGATCTTTTTTTCCTGCAGAAACCACACTGCCTCTCCCCCAACAATTCATTTACTGTGATCCCACCCTTTCAAGAACTCATCAGCTACCACCCACAGACTATTCTAACAGCCCTTGCAAAGAACACCACATCACCCGATTCACATGTCGCGTGGGAGAATAACAGTCAGTCACATGCAAAACTACCCCCAATGGAGCGAGCACAGCAATCAGCGCGGCACCCATTCAGCAAGCAGCTTTTAGGGGCCTACTGCGCGCTGGGCAGAAAAAAAAAAATGTCATTTCGTTACAAAATTACAAAAAACTCAGCACAGGGAGTGGCCAGAGGGTCTCACCTTTTCATAGAGAGTGCCATTCACGTCTGCACCATAGATCGGGGGGTTGAAAGTAAGATTTTTCCAGTATTTCCGTTCAAGCTCTTCAAACTCACTATAGCGTGGGGTACAGTACCTGTCAAACGTAAAAGAAGTGTTAACCACTTAGAAGGGACTAAATTCTTGAACAGCACAAAACAATCTCCTATTCCAGAAACAGCAAGGTATTTCAAACAAATATGTCATAACTTCGACCTTCGAGGCTTTAAGACAGTACCCCCCTCAGTATCCCTTCCACCAGCTCTGGGCCCGCGGAAGGTGATGACATGGAGATAGAAGCACACCTTCCTTTACGAGCAGGGTATCTTCAAGTCTTCGAAGAGAATTGACTTAAAGCTGTACACCCCGCCAGAATCAGAAGTGGCCTGGCCACTCAGGGAGAAAACAGCTTACAAATTTGTGAGATCCAAGAACTGCAAACCCCCATACAGCTGACCGTGAACAACACGGGCTGGGCCTGTGCAGGCCCACTTACATGCGGGTTACTTTCCGTAAATGTCTTTTCAATTCCTTATGATTTTCTTTTCTCTAGCTTACTTATTATTATAAGAACACAGTATATAATACATTTACAAAATGTGTTAATAGACTATGTTACCAATAAGACTTCTGGTCAACAGGAGGCTATTTATTAGTAGTTAAGATATGGGGGAGTCAAAAGTTATAGGCAAGCCCTAACTGGTTTGGCTCGGTGGATAGAGCATTGGCCTGCGGGCTGAAGGGTCCCAGGTTCCAGTCTGATCAAGGGCGTGTGCCTTAGTTGCGGGCACATCCCCAGTGGCAGGTGTGCGGGAGGCAGCTGATTGATGTTTCTCATCAATGTTTCTTTCTTTTTCTTTTTCTTTTTTTTTTAAATATATTTTATTGATTTTTGTACAGAGAAGAAAGGAGAGAGACAGAGTTAGAAACATCGATGAGAGAGAGTCATTGATCAGCTGCCTCTTGCACACCCCCTACTGGGGATATGCCCACAACCAAGGTACATGCTCTTGACCGGAATCGAACCTGGGTCCCTTCAGTCCCCAAGCCGACGCTCTATCCATTGAGCCAAACCAGTTTTGGCTCTCATCAATGTTTCTAAATCCCTATTCCTCTCCCTTCCTCTCTGTAAAAAAATCAATAATATATATATATATATATATATATATATATATATATTTTTTTTTTTTTTTTTTTTTTTTTTTTAAGTTATAGGCAAATTTGACTTTACAGGGTGGGGGTGGGGATGGGGAGTTGACGCCCCACTCCTACAATAACCAAGGTCAACTGCATGTCCCCAGACAACCAAAACCCAACAGCCTGGGGAGAGCGGAGGCCTGGCCACGGCTCGCTTCCCTGAGCGTAAGTGAAGGAAGCGACTCCCGGAGGCTCGGGTGTCCGTCCCTCCCGGCCACACTCCAAGCACCCAATGCAGCCGCTAGCATTCAACAAATAACTGGGCTTACAAATGAAACAGTTCAAAACCACTTAAAAATGATTCCACAGCAATTTTAAAAAGAACAATATGTAAACCTAAAAGGTATTTGAAAACGCACGAAATAACGCAAATGGCAAAAACATATCGTGAGTGGATCAAGAGTGGAAGCAGAGATCAACATGAAATTGTGTGGGGATAATGGGATGAGTGAGGAAAAACAAATCTTACTTTCAACACTGGCTTACATGTCAATGCCGACCTAGTGAATCATAATGTTTAGAACTCTAAAGTTCCCTTTTAAGTATAAATAACTTTCCCACGTCCAACTGATCTGCTTTATACATTTAGGTTTTTACCCACTGGGTGTTGCTGACCATGCAGACAGCAATCAGGGGTAAGACTTTGTTGTATTTCAGATGCAAAGGAAAGACAGGGGCCGGTTCATTTAAAAAGAAAGGCGGTATTGTGAAAGGAGAAAAGGCCTACCATATGTTGACAAGAAGAGGAGACAGGCACAGGAGGCTGAAGCCCACGTGAAACAGAAAGCAGGTGTGCTTGGTGCCGCCAGCCCACAGACACACTGCACAGACAGAAATCAGACAAAGGGTGACACAGCCTTCCATCCACAGAGCATGTCACACTTCTCCAACATGCTTGCTCAGACATGATCACAGTACACAGCAGCTGGCCAACACTATCCTAGTAGATGTTCAAGCGTGAAGCTGTCAATAAAACTGGAAGACCATATTTTAGAATCGTGATAAGCCAATGGAAAAGAAGGCAAAGCATAGAAATAGAAAGAGTGAGATCTGATATGTGTGTGTGTGTGTGTGAGAGAGAGAGAGAGAGATGATAAAACGCATGAAGTCATGTCCCCAAAGTGTGAGGACTGGCAAGCTTCAGACCCAGCTCTGGGCTCGTTCACAGGGAAGGCACAGCATGTCTGACTGGCTGAAATCAGACATGCGCAGATCCATTAAGGCTCAGGAGAAAACGAGAGGGGAAAGGAAGGAATCCCTTGAGGAAACTGAAAGTTATGGAGTGGCACGGGAAAGGAGAAGATCCAAGGAAAAGGATTAAGAAAGAGCAGTGAGAGCTGATGAGGGGAAGACAAAATTCATTCGCGGAGATCAGATGAGAGCTAAATGTTACAAAATCAACTGAAAACAGCGGGCCTCAACAAAGAAAGACGTTTCTAACACAGACAAGAATGTACACATGAGGAAAAATGGAGTCAGAAAATAGCAACGAGCTTTGGCAGTTCATTCACACCCTGCTAATGTCAAAGTGGAAAGAAGCCGTGGCAGGCTTGGCTCAGTGGACAGAGCATCAACTAAAAGGTTCTGGGTTCGATTTCAGCCAAGGTCCTGGTCAGGGCATAGGAGGCAACCCATAGATGTGTCTGTCCCTCTCACAGCAATATTTCTCTCTCTGCCTCTCCCCCTCCCTTCCATTCTTCCTAAAAATCAATGGGGAAATGTCCTTGGGTGGGAATTAACAACAAACAAACAAACAAGTGGAGAGGAGATAGCAGTTTTATGGGTAGGGAGGATTTTGAGCGTGATTAAAGATAGAAGGACCCAGAAGGAAGAGATTAAACCACGGAGGCCTCTTTTAGATAAGCAAGTGATTATCAATACATCTGGCGAAAGCTCCTTTTGAACCAACTCCAGAGTTCTCCTTTGGAAATCGGCAACTTACTGGGGGTCAGAAAACGGTTCTACTTTTGATGGAAAAACAATGGAATTACTTGACGTGGGAATATGGTCCAGGGTAGACTGGGACACGGTGCTGGGAGGAGGAGATGCTTCCAGGAAAAGGTCAGAGAGGGAGACAGAAGCTAGATGGAGCTGGGACCCTGGTCATCAGTCTTGAAGACGGCTGTGAGGAGACGTTGAGTACCAGACACTAGGACAGATAAAGGAAGAAACGTGTTTCCACTCACTTATCACTGTTGGCGATCTTGCGGAACTCTCGAACAGTCATGGCCTTCTTCTGTATGTTGTACTGAGTGAAGAGCCCAGACTGCCCGGTCACCAGCTGCTGGATGGGAGCAGGAATGACCAGATCGTCAATGTCATCGTAGGACGCTCGAGGCTTCCACTCCTTAGGAGGAACCACCTGCAGGGAACACAAAGATGGAGCCGGGTCGGAAACCTGTGGGTAGACTGCTATCCAACGTTAACGGTCCATTTTACTAAAAAGTTACTTGGCTTTAACCAGCCCTAACCAGTTTGGCTCAGTGGATAGAGAGTCAGCCTGCAGACCGAAGGGTTCCAGGTTTGATTCTGATCAAGGGCATGTACCTTGGTTGCGGGCACATCCCCAGTAGGAGGTGTGCAGGAGGCACCTGATCGATATTTCTCTCACTCTCCCTTCCTCTCTGTAAAAAAATCAATATATATATATATATTTAAAATAAATAAATAAATAATAATCATGTGCATCCAAATGCAGCAAGTCACACTGTCATGCTAACCTGATCTAGTTCTGCCACTGACTAGCTGCCTGGTGGCCATGCACTAAGGTAAGTAATACTTGTTTCTCAGCCTTGGAGTTTTGTGGGGTTTTTTTAAAGATATTTTATTGATTTTTTACAGAGAGGAAGAGAGAGGGATAGAGTTAGAAACATCAATGAGAGAGAATCATCGATCAGCTGCCTCCTGCACACCTCCCATTGGAGATGCGCCCGCAACCAAGGTACATGCCCTTGACCGGAATCGAACCTGGGACCTTTCAGTCCCCAGGCCGACGCTCTATCCACTGAGCCAAAACGGTTTCGGCAGCCTCGGTGTCTTCTGTGGGCACCAAGAGAGGAAGCTGAAGAGCTAATTCTCTCTCATTGAACAGAGTCCATACGGGAAGCCCAATTACTGTCAGAGTGCAGGCTGAGAGTGAAACGAGATCAGGGGAGTCTAATGGCATACTCAGTGACAGATAAAACACTCCAGCACCTTCTCCACCAGAGGGGAGGCACCACACCCCTCTGGTGGCCCCACACCCTGGCTCTGAGCATCCTTTGCTCTCCCCCGCCCTGAAAGAAATGCTTCAGATGCTAATGAAAGCAATTAACTTGCAAATGGGGTGGCAGGCTCAGCTCATCACCCAGCCTGGCTTTCAGTAAAACTCAGTTCTCCCAACATTCACTCAGGAAGCCTGCCTGCTGCCCGGTCACAGGTCACAGGTCACAGAAGCCACTGCCCAACAAGCCCACCCCTCACCTTGGCCAGCCCGGCCCGATGGGCTCCTTGGGATTCAATGTAGGCAACGTATCGACTGAAGTTCCGGAACTCCTCCATAGTCGGGTAAAAGGTCATTATCCGAGCGCTGGGATTCAGCGTTTCAGATTCAGAAGCCATTTTCCCTCCTTTTCCCAGGTCACTTTGGTCAGACAGGAATCTGAAGAAATTCATAAGAGCATAAAGTTGTCATTAAAATTAAATGCTGGGGATGCCAGTGCTGAAAACAGTAAATGATAACTTAGAAATTCTGAAGAAGTAGTTAAGACCTCACACCTGGCCCTGGCAGGTATGCTCAGTGGTTAGAGCATGTTCCCATGCACCGAAAGGGTCTTGGGACCCCAAAGCACCCTGACTGGTAATTGAACCCAAGACCCTAAGGGGAGGCAACCTATCACTGTTTCTCACTCATATCAAAGTTTCTCCCTCCTTAGAATCAAGGAAGAAAAACACCAACACATATCCTAGTGTGAAGATAAAAATTTAAAAAAAAGACTTCACACCTGGAATCTGCCTCTAGATACATTATTTAAATGAACCAGAAATAGACAAGGCTCTGCTTAAAGGAATCTGATGTATCAGTATTGCTTGTATTCAAATCTTAGTTAAATGGAGACATTGTTTAAGCTAATAAAGGGAAATGGTAACTGAGTGTTGGTCCTATTTAACAGTTCAGGCGCCATATTTCACCCTTTTCAAGTTGCTCCCTATTCACACCTTGCTAATTGCTTTTCAGAGCATTAAACATAATTTACTACAACCACATTTAAAAAGCAACCTAAGGGCTGGCTCTGTTCTCAGGAACAGCTTTAAAATAGGATTATAGATTCCTTAGAAAAGTTACTTAGTTACAAGATTACAAAATAAAGTTTAATGTAATTAAAGTACTTTGAGCCCTGGCTGGGTAACTCAGCTGGTTAGAATAACATCCTGATACATCTCCGGTCAGGAAACATATAAGAAGCAACCAATGAATATATAAATAAGGGGAACAACAAATCAATGTTCCTCACTCAAATCAATAAATAAAATTTTAAAAAGAAAGAACACATACAAAAAAGTTCTTTAATATTAGTAGCATGAGCTATGATTTTAAAAACTATATCTAAACCAAAACGCGGTTTCAGCAGGACTTAATGAAGCCAAGCTAGAGACCGGTGTGACTGCACCGTACCCAGAACTCAAAAGGACAAAATTTAAACAGGCAATAAACTGGCCACACGGGGCAAACTTCGTCACTGATTAGAAAAGGGGAAATACTTAGTGTTTAGATGAGGCCTCCAGCTTCGTGGGTTACACCCCCATCATCACCAGGCACCACAAAAGGCTATTACAACTGAACAAGGACCAAGCATATCAGCTCAAAGGAGCCAGTTAAGAAGCAAAAGGAAATTCTAGAACTCCCCCAACCTGGGCCCCAAAGCCATGGCCATTCATCTCCAGGAGTCCCCTGGGGAGCTCCGGAGCTCAGAAGTGAGGAAACTGCCTCCAACCTGCCAGCAATTTAGCAAAAGCCTGGAGACAGCCTGGAGCAGGAGTGCCTAAGGGAAGACAGAAGACAAACCCAAACCCCTCCCGCCTCCCCCTCACACCCACACCTCTCTCCCGCTTCCACTGTGCCCCACCCCCCCAGGTGCTTTTCAGGTACCTGGCCAACCCTTTGCATGGCGGTATACTGTTATCCCCGATTTACATACCAGGAAATTCGCCCACAGAGCAGTAAGGCACTCCAGGTGCTCCTTCCACTGCTCTGCGCTGCCTACATAACAACAATCTCCACCTAGACTAAGCCCCATGCAGAGGGGCGGGTCCGACGGTAGAGGAACCTGAAGTTTACTCCACGTCGGAGACCCTCTCTTTTCAAAAGAATACAAAGTACCTTACTGGTGCAAATGTTAACAAAACACACAATCACGTGAAAACAAGTGTTAGGGCCCACCGCCTCTGGACTTCACTCGTTTCTGTGTGCCCCGAACCTAGAACAATGCATGCACAGAGGAGGCGCTCGGTAACTTGAATAACTGATTTCCTCGCCCTCCCCTCCCGTTGCTCATTTCCTTTCTTCGACCCTCGGATTCCCTTCCCCCCCCCCATCCCATCCCCTGGGGAAAGCTCCTGTTCCCGAACACCTTCCTGCTCCCATCCAGCAACAAAGCCCGGCGGCTCCCGAGCAGCGCTCCGGAGTCAAAGCAAACTCTGAACTGCAGACCCGGTCTCTGCCATGATTTACGAGCTGTGTGACCTTGGCTGGCGGGAGGTGCCAAAGCCTCAGTTTCTCCTTGCTGTAAGATGGGGGTCCCAGCCTCCTCGCGGGCTGGGTTGCTGTGATTAACTCAGATGATGCAAGCAAAACGCTAAGCCCTAGGCCCGGTCCGTAACCACCCCATAAAGGTGGCTCTTGCCGAGAACCGCTTCAAACTCCCGCCCCCTCCCCACTCCGCCGCAGCTCCAGCGGGTATCGGCTCCCAAGATCCCCAAACCTCACCGTGCAGAGGCCCAGCCCCTCCTGGCCCCGCCGCCCAGACGAGGGGGGCCCGGCCGCAGGAAGAAAATACTGCCCAGTACACCCGCCCCCCTTCCCGACGGCCATTGGCCACAAGAAATTGGAAAGAGCCAATCCCAGGGCGCTGTTTTAGAAGCTCCCGCTCCCATTGGGTGAGAACCGCGCCCATCACTCCCTCCCTCCCCCCTCCCCCACCGGATCTCACGGTCAAGGCCACAGCAGCAGCAACTCTACACAGATCCCCCGACCTTCCGGCTCTCACCCGAAGCCCGCCGGCCCGGCGGGGCTAAGACCCAGCTCCTGCCGTCGCCACCGGGCCGATCTCGCGGCTTTTCCGTCTAGCGAGGGACGGAGCTCCGCCTCCCCGAAAGTCGGCCCCGGCGCAGCCGCACAGCGCCCCACAGAGCGGACCAATCCCGGAGCCCGGCCTATAAGCCCGCAGACAACCAATGAGCACGCGCTGCAAGCGCCCCAAAGCCGGGGCGTAGCGGTCGGCTCCGCCTATGAGCACCCGCTGGGGCTGTTGCCAGGAGGAAGCGCGGTGCCACTCGGGGCCGCGGCCACTGAGCTTTACGGCTCCGTGCGGCGCCGGCCTCTCATAGGCAGGCTCCCGGCGCCCAGAGCTAATGAGGGGAGGAAGAGGCGAGTGCCTAGAACTGGGGTGGCTGGTGGGCAGAGGCTTTTGGAAGACCCTTGCCCAACGTGGAAGTGTGTTTGCTGGGAGCCCTGAAGGGGGCCGCTTCTGAGGTCAAGGAGTCCCTGATAAAAGTGACCAGCTTGTCCTGATTTGCCCAGGACCGTCTCGGTTTTAAAACCGAAAGTCCCGTGCTCTAGGAACCCCCTCATTCGCTGGCACACCCTGAGGTTTCTTGGAAGAGAGCAGTTCCTGAATGGGAAGAAGCTCTGCGGGTGATTAGGACAGTCCTAAGGGGCGATGTCCTTAAGAGTCATTAAAAAAGCAGTTCCCCGGCGAGCGAGGATTTGGGGGTCATTAGGAGCGGCGCTTGGGGAAGAAGAGATCCTGGGAGTCAGCAGACCCGCGGGAGGGGTGGAGGGAGGATTCCTAGAAGTCTCCAGGAGCTGTTCCTGAGGGTAGTGACTCACCTTAATGAGGGAGGAGCTCCCAGATTGAAGGGGAAGGAGGCGTACGTGACGCTTTGATGGGTCAAATAGAAAAGAAGAATACCCACAACCAGTCATAAAAAAAAGTACAAAATTAGCCATAGATGAGTAATACTGTAGTGCACTGGAAAGAGCTATAGAATCAGTCAGCCCTAACTGGTTTGGCTCAGTGGATAGAGCCTCTGCCTGCAGACTGAGAGGTCCCAGGTTTGGTTCTCTCCCTTCCTCTCTGTAAAAATCAATTAAAATATATATATATTTTTTTTTAACTTTTTTAAAGAGAGAGCTATGGAGTCAGATTTGTGTTTCAACCCACTGATCCTCTGAGTCTGGGATTTCCTATCAGTAAGATGGAAAATATAATAGTACCCTTGCAAGATTGCTATGTAGATGAGAGCTAATATATGCTGGCAAAAAAGGATGTTATTACAGCCGAAACCTGTTTGGCTCAGTGGATAGAGCGTCGGCCTGCGGACTGAAAGGTCCTGGGTTCAATTCCGGTCAGGGGCATGTACTTTGGTAGCGGGCACATCCGTGGTAGGGGGTGTGCAAGAGGCAGCTGGTCGACCATGTTTCTCTCTCATTGACGTTTCTAGCTCTCTATCTCCCTTCCTCTCTGTAAAAAATCAATAAAATGTATTTAAAAAAAAAAAAAGGATGGTACATACAATGGTATGGATTTGGACCAATCGTAATATATCCCATGTTTCCCTCCTCCCATGCTTTTTTCAGGAAGACAAGACAATATATTAGACTAGAGGCCCAATGCACGAAATTGGTGCAAAGGGCTCAGCCCCTTCAGCCTCACAGCTTGCCTCGGCCCTCACAGCACATGCTTCATCCGGAAGGTCGTCCAGCTGTCCAGTCTAATTAGCATATTACACTTTTGTTATTATAGATTATATTGGGGCTCTACTGGTTAGAACATCAGCCTGCAGACAGAAGTGTCATGGGTTCGATTCCTGGTCAAGGGCACATACCTGGGTTGCAGGTTTCCCAGCCTGGTCGCTTGCAGGAGGCAAAGAATTGTCTCTCTCACACCTGTGTTTCTCTATCTCCCCCCTCTCTTCCACTGTCTCTAAAAAAATCAATGGATAAAAATACCCTTGGTGAGGATTTAAAAAAAAAAAATAGATTATGTTGGATAGCTCAAAAAATTGCTAAGTCTGAAGAACCCAACTTGGTGCATACATCATGAGGAAAATAGCACCAAATCACCCACCACTGTCCTTGCTGCTGTCACCAAGCACAAGATTCATTTTGCTTCACAGACTCCACTGTCCTGCACATGGGTATAGTAGTATAACTAGCACTACTGCCACTGCCATCTGCTTCGTGTTACTACATCATCTTGTTACATTTCCTGCTGCTGCCAAAGAGGATTTTCTAAAATCAGTGCTAGTTTGCAGCACAATCTACAATAGCCAGAATTTGGAAACAGCCTAGGTGCCCGTCAGCAGATGATTGGATCCAAAAACTATGGTACATCTACACA